ATGTAGCCAATTCATAGAGGGGGATTATTAGGAGGCCATGATTGGTAAGGGCCAATGGGAAATTTGGCCAGGACGCTGGGGTTACACCCCTACTCTTTTCGAGAAACACCCTGGGATTTTTAATGACCACAGAGAGTCAGGACCTCGGTTTAGTGTAAACCTCCTCCTACCAGAGTTCAGTGACTTACCTTTTTGGTCGATCCTCAGGTCATACAGTGGCGTTCTGTAGATCTCAGCAGGCGAGAGCGCACAGCGAGACAGGGGAACATGGTGCGAAGGTCCCAAGATGAAAACTCTTCGACTGCAGAGCAAGTCCAGAGGTTTAGTTTGACTTATTTCGTACTCGTGCAGGCTTCTGCAAACTCAAAGTGAACTACTTTGAAACAAAAAAGTCTAATGCTGCAATTAAGACCAGTAACTGGTCTATTAACAAAGGCTAGTCTATATAAGTTTCATCCAATGCTTTACAAATGCTTATGCATTCAGTAAGGTTCTTGCAAAGAACCAAGAAAACTTAACTGGTTGTACCCACATACTGAATCAGAACATAGCATGACAATTTCTTACAAGCAGGCAGGCAAGCCTCAGTCCCGATATCCAGGTTTGTGAAACCCTTAACGGGAGCCTGCTGGAAAGTGTTAATTGTTTAGGGATTGTCCACTAGGGATATGTGTCCCCAACAAGTCCTTCACCACTGAAATGGAAAAGTTAATAATTTAGAACTCCTGATCTCCACACAGGGCAGACGGTTCACTTCTCTTACATCTGCTTGTATGAAATCAGTTGTATTAGAATTCTGCACATCTTTCTGTTCCAGACAGGGGCAGGACTTTATGTGTTAAGGCTCAGCTGAATCAGCAAAAAGCAGGCACTAATAATACAGTAAGTGAGCAAATCTAATATCTTTCTTTAATTGCCTCAACTTGGAGAAAGTACTGCTGTCCCAAAATTCTGCGGCCAGTGTTCACACTTACTGGAACACCTGTGACTAGTTAATTTTTCTAATGGGTTCATTAACGCTGTCCCTTTTAATTAATCATTTAAAATGGGCCAAACCACCTGCGCTCCTTTGCATCCCCTCTTATGTTCTTAATATGAACAGTTAGGTCTGTCAGCTGCTCCGTTACTCATTCTCCATACATATTACTTGGGAACAAGAGCGCATCACTCATATGAATATCTAAGTGGTTTCAAGAAAAGGGAGAGTTTTTTGCGTGTGTTTTTGTTATTTAGTTAAAAGCTGTGTCAATTAAGGAATGAGCGTCTGTCATTACCTTCTATCAATTTTAGTCTTGATTTAGCCTTGAAGAAACCTTGTCACTGCTGAAAAACTACAGATGCTAACATTCTATAAACAATTATTGATCAAATGATTAAAAAAATACCCATTAAACCGTCTTTAATACAACTTAATCTAAATGAATGTGACTTTTTCCCTATAGAAAAGCAACAACACAGCCATCACTCCCCAGTCTGGGTGCGATTTAAGAGTGGCCAGGACTTAAAATGCTGGATGTGGACTGTCCAAACTAGATTGCATCCATAAGGCAGCTAGTGCCATTTCATTCTACCATGTGATCAGGCCCCTTTCTGGAAGACTAGCTATTTGTTTTTCGGTGGGAGGGAAAAAGGACTCTTAAATGATCATTTTGCACAATCAAAGGGGGGGAGGCAAAACAAGCATTGGGCATATTTCTTCTATCAAGGATTCTGAAACTGGGAAGGCACTGGACAGACTGGGCCTCCTACACACCACCTAATATTACGCAGACCCAGCATTTTGGGATTAAAAGTTCAACTTGGAACAAAAAGAAAATAAAAGAATGACACGTCTGCTACACACGTCACAGTAAGACAGTACTTCTGAAGGACAAGGCAGCACTTTTGTCCACGCACCCTTGCAAAATCACTTTGATCCACCATAACAAGTACTTATTTTATTGCAATGGGGAGGAAACACTAAGCCAATACCAGTCTTTGCGAAAGATCAATACAATTAAAGCTACAAACAAAACCAAAGTGCAATCCTTTCGGTACTCACGTAACGGTGGGGTCCACCTGTTTGTAAGCATGCGCAGCACAAGCTCCGCAGTACGTATACCCTGCGTGCCTGGAAACAGAAAACTGCACTTTCAGAATAAACAAAAAAGTTACTGATACAGCCAATACAAACAGCATGTTTGCAGCGGCTGCTTGAAACACTCATAGAAAATTTCATGAGAAACCATTCTTTTCACTCCCACTTGGAAACTACCATAAAGAGAAAAAACCCGACCTCAGAAATACAATATACTGTAGAGCCCATATTTTTAAAACATACAGGTACTGGAAAAGACTTACACATTTAAACAAAAGTCTCAGATAGATGTCTTTCACACTGTTTACACAATGCATATATGCCCAGACGGAATATGAGAAGTATATTTTTGCCATACATTTTCTTACTTCAAATAAGGAAATGTCTATAACACCTACATGGAGTGCTAGAAATATTAAACATTTAAGCACTTAAAACGTGCAACTGTACATATATATGTTTTAAGTTAAACTATAAGAAAAATAGGCATTATACTCTTAGTACTTACGGTGCAATTATGGCTCTGGCTGGTCTTTTTGTGGACTGTGCCTGAGATAGCCAGCCTTCTAGCTGTGCATTCAGCTGGGGTCCTGGAGTGACAGATACAGAGAGACCACTAAGCACACAAAACGCACAAATTCCAAAGTAAATCAGTCAAGAGACTACCTACATTTGCATCACCCATAAATTCACTGCCATTTCAGAGGCCAAAAAAAATGCTAATTTTACAATACAGTTTTACCTTCACATCAAGCCCCTGATAACACTATTTTTCATCAATGGAAAGAGCCAGATTCCCTGAAAAACAGGGTGATTTAGTACAGTCTGACTTTAAACAACTTCACTCAAGAAGTCCAAACATTTCTCAACAACACAGTGTTAACCTTTCAATTTTAAGACAGCTTTGACATTTCCTATAAAACGTAAAACTATGAAAATACTACAACTTATGAACATTGTTCAATTTTATGCTAACAGTAAAATCAGACGAGATGCTCGTCTCTTTCTTTACCTCCAGGGACTCATGTTTCAGCATAGCAACAGCAAAGGAAGGTCCCTTCAGCTCAGGGTAAACCATGTAAATAAACACCTGCTTGCCTGACACTACAAGACTGCCAGGTGTTTCGATGGATGTGAAGATTAAGGGTTCCAAAAACAAAATAAAGGTTAAGAGTGACATGCGGTCCAGCTTGCCTGTTAAGTTGCTAGTAGCTTTCTGTCCTTTTACTTTCTTAAAAGATCCCACAGAGTCAGCACCAATTTCATGAATTGGTTCCAGACTCCTCTAATCTCCTAATATTTCCTGTTTCAGCCTAGGTATGACATTCCTTTCCAGATAGGAATAGGTTTTGTTCTCCTTGTTACTGCCATTAGAACAGCAATATATTTCTTACATCAAAGTGACCAAAACTAAACATACTACTCCAAGTGAGGTTCAGAAAATGTGAAACAGGAGGTTCTAATGATAAAGACATAATTACAGTAGGAACCACTTTTATGCAAAGCAACTTGCAAAGAAAAATGCAATCACTTAAGAAGTGATACAAACTAAAGATGGTTCTTACATGTACTCAGCTGACTTGGATACTACTTGAAAATTGAATTTAGAATGACATCTGGGGCTTTAACTTCATTAACACAGACAAGGAGACTTCCAGACTCCCATTATCCTTTGTTAAAAAGAGCTTCCTACTATTTGTCAATAAACTGTAGTACACAATAGACATTTGGTTCTGAATGTCATCCAAAACACAATGTACAAGACAGGAAGGCTAAGCAAATTGCTCAGGTTAAGATGCATTAACACTGAACCAGGTGCTTCAGCCAGGAAGCTGCTGGTAACAAGACTTCATCAACTCAGATTAAGATATGAAATATGCTCTTGCAATAAGCACTACAGAACCTAGTTAGATCATTCAGTACCTTATAGTGAACTAGAAAAAAATTAAAAAGTCCATTCATAATTTTATATGGAGTCAGCATAGTAAAAAGAGGTCAGAGGTTATATATTTAAGCTGTCACATGAACTACAGAATTATGAACACAATGAAGCCAATTTAGTACTCCAGTATATGGCTTGAATAAGTAAAATGCCTATAATCTTGAAAAAATAAAGCCATTTATCAATATACTAGCATAAGATAAGAAGTGCCAGCATTTTAACCTAGCACTGTAAAACAAATCTGTAGGAAAAAAGGCCCTCTCAAAATTCCTAACACGCTCTTCTAAGGACAGCATAAACCAAGGTTTCCAACTTCCATTGAGCACAATCAACAGTAACCAGCATTGTGAAGATGATACTGAAATCCTTCGAGCGCGGTCTCAGTCCTGTCAGTGTTCTAACTTAAGATCAGAAAGAAACCTGCAGATAGTGCAGCAGTAGCTGAAAAAGTGCAGAGAGTTATAATATATAATATAGTAGTAATTATCTGCAGTAGTCTGTAAGTAAATCCTGAGGGTCATGAGCATTGTAGCCAACTGATGCACCAAATCCACAATGAAGAAAAATCTGACCAGGAGGCAACATGTAAACACTACAAAATAAATGTTTCTCCTGTTAAATAATCTTAAAAAAGACCAGATTAAGTGGGTCCTAGAATACAATTTTACAATTACAACAATGTAATATCAATCAGAGAAGACGGACAGGAAATCTTGCCTTTTAAGGCTCGAAGCGCATTCAGATGACCTTTCTGTGAAAAAGTTGACATTATCTCCTCAACTCACACTTAGGAATGCCAGCAAAAATTCCCCAGCCTATTAAAAGAAATCTGAAGGTAACTTAAAAAAGAATCATTATGGATGCGGTGAATACATGGTAGTTTTGCAAAAATCATTCCAACTCTTTCATTACCCTACCCTCTCATTACCTATGAGCCTCCGAGGTATCACGATCCTTTGCAAGGCAAAGTAAGTCATACTTACTGTACATGCTCTGCCTGACTTATGCTGTGCTTTATGCTTTACTTATGATAAACGACTTTTGAGACATTTGTGTTAACTTCGTTTACATCTTGCAATGTGTGGACGCAGTAAACAAAAATACATGGTCAGCACATTACAAAGCAAAACTGCAGCACTGCAATCAGTCCAAGGAAGAGCAACCCAGAGCATTCTGGAGCTTATCAGAGTGTTCTACACCAACAGGCTAAAAGACCTGAACCTTTTTAGTCTTCAACTGACTTGACACATGTATTCAAAATCCTCAGAGACACAGGAAAAGTATTTGCAAAATGAACAGTGAAACATGAACCAGAGGGTTCAAGTGGAAACGACTATACATGGAAGTACTCCTTTACCCTAAGGGTTGTGGGAGTGTGGAACAAGCTAACCAGCCATGCAGTCGAAGCTCATATCCTGGCGTCTTTCAAGAAATGCCTGGATGAGACCAGAGGCCTCCTCTAATTAGTCATCTTTCTGACCTTCTTCATTTGTGCGAAATGATGATACGCCAGAGGTAAGATGCACCACAACAGCTAAGCCTATAAAGTTTCCACTCATGTGGGCATTTAAAATCATCTCCAAGGATACATCTGTCACACGTGAAAGCTGTAAACATTTCACACTCCAAATGTACACAGAACTTGGGAATCAAGGTACTGATAACCTCTCTTTGGAAAATTTAGATTTCCCCAAAAATGTTGTCAAAAGCCCGGTCATGGCATTTTCTCTCTCTCATCTTCTCTCTCACTTTTTTTCCCTTTAGTCCAGCTACCTTGCATGGTGCTGCAAATGTAAAATATATTTACAGTGAATGGCTACACCTTTGCAGAGCTAAAACCCAAAATAAGTTATCACCCAATCCCCCTCAAGCAAAAGCAAGTCTTAATAGACTTTAACAGCACATTCATAACAGCAGTTATTTCCAAAACTGCCAGATTTTGTTTTTGTGTTGTACCCTGGGGGTATTTTAAAGCTTTTCCTGACAAATTTGCATATTTAGCAGACAGTATAGCAGGCTTTTTTTGTTTCAGACTATGTTTTGTCACTTTGGACTCTTTAGTTGTGAAAATATTTGGGCCAGAAACTGATTCTCGTTTGTCTGGTTCACAAGTACCCCACCTGCTATGTCTGTGAACAACAGCCTCTAGCAGAGAGTATGTTACAGTATGTTCCCATAACCACTTCTCTTACCTGAAGCACTGGGGCACCCCTAGACACTAGCTCATACCATTAGGCATCTCTGCCCCTTTCTGAAAACAAAACAAAACACGTTCCAGCTAAAGTCAGAAGGAACTGCCTGACATCATTACGTTTAAGGATTTCAGATGATTTTTTCAGAAAGCTAAAAAGAACAAAAACCCTCCTCCCCCACACACACACCACTCTTTTAAACCGGCTCCCTTGTAATCCAAACTACATGAAACAATGAACGTTACTTCGATGGCTCAGATGGTAGAAACTATCTTTACCGAGGCCTGCGATCCAGAAAGTTCCTCTAAATATAATTTCCTACATACTGGAGGGGTGTACCCCTTTGGGTGTAACAGGAACCCAGCAAACAGCTGTCCAACCCAGCTCTTTGTCTAGTGAAATACCTGTTAGGGGTTTAAGCAAACGGTAAGAAAGGAACTGAGAAAAGAAAACCTGTTTTTTTTGAGAACATACATACTTTAAATCATCTAACTTGCTAAATCCTATTAATATTTGATTCAAACGTGAGAAGTTCGCATATTCAGTAAATCCAAGGGCTTAAAACTTGAGCCTTGCAGTGTTCCAGCCAGCGTCGCTTCGGTTCCGTAATTTTGACAACATCACATCGATTTTTGTTCTTAAAACAAAGCAACGTTATGGCAACGGGCAACACGGAAGAAAACTGCTGAATCGGCTTATTCACAGTTCACCATATAGTGATGTGACAGAAGAGACTGTCAAACATTTCGCCGAACGCAACATCGAAACCTCATCACGACATCCTGTCGATTTTTTTTTTTAAAAGGCTCCCAGATGTGTGTCCCCTAGAGCGATGCGAGCCGGCTGAAGTTTTGTTTTTGGGGGATCACCTTTCGTCAGGATTTGCCAACCGCTGAAAATGAAAAGAGAAGAGAGCCGGGGCAGGAAAATAAAGGCGGGGGGGGGGGGCACTGCAATTGATCTACTTTTACACAAAATGTCACGGCACGTAAATCGAGCCGGCCGGACCCAGACAAAAGGATTAACTAACTAGTACATGCAGGCGCTCCGCCGATTTCATTCAGACAGGAAAAGGGACAGGCCCACGGAGCAGAGAGAGAGAGAAACAACCCAGGTTTGACAACAAAAATCAGTCGGGGTTTTCTTTAACGACACAGCCGCACGCACTGATGTGACGTGCAAGAGCCGGGTTTTTTTATACACATATATTTAGTTTCCGTTCATTTTTTTAATTCAAGGTCCGTCCACACGTGCTGACTTTTTGACACCAAAACAGTGTCAACTCTCAAATCGCGGCCTGTCCTGTGTCCCGTCCCCCCCCCCAACACCTCCTCCCCCCCTTTTCCCCGGAGTCCCCAGCAACAGTCGGGAGCCGTCTCTCCCTCGGCGGATCGGCTGTCCCCACCCCGCCGACCTCGGGCCGAGCGCTGCCCGGTCTGCGCCCCGCTGTCCCCGACTCTACCTGAGGCGGTGTACCAGCTGCCGGCGTGACTTGCTTCTCTGCACACCACTCGGTTCGACATCTTAGTGCCCGAGCCGCCTATCTTGGTCAGGTAAAACCTTATCGGGGGGTGGGGGGGTGAATTAAAACTAAAAAAAAAATTAATAAACGGGGGAGGAAAAAAATAAATAGTAACGAACAACACAAATAAAACTAGGGGGAGGTATAAAATGATATATGTAGGATCTTCCAAGCTTTACTTAAAACCTCCGTCAACCGGGAAAATAAACTTGGACCATGAGCTAAAAGAAAAAGAAAGAAACTTTAAAGTCAAACGAAAAGATTGGTATCTCAGTAGGCAGGGGAAGAACAAAAGCCTAAAGCCAGTTTGTCAATTTGCTGCTGGAAACGCAACTGTTCGCCGGTCCTGGTTTGGCATAACTCGGCTACCGTGCCACGGCACACCAAAGGGGCTCCCATTGGCCGGGAAGTGCAACGGTGCATTCCGATTGGTCACAGGCCCTAGGCAGGTAGGAGGCGTAGCCAAGGGTGGCTGAGGGAACGGCGTACGGCCAACCGGATTGGATGGCTGCGTCAGCTGTGGGGGTTTTGGTTGGCGGAACGGCTGGGAGTGGGCGTGTCTGGGTCTGCACGGCAGGGATAGTGAACAGCCCGCTTGGCGATTGGTTCGTTCTGTCACTATGGTCAAAGGGAAGATCGCAGGGAGAAAGGTTAAGAAAGTGACGTCAGCGCATACAAATCCCCACACTTCACAGTTTTTTTTTAGAGAATGGAAAGACGGAATAATAATGAAGTACTCGTCACGATCAAGTCGTTTCCGTATCAAGAGAATGGAATATTAAACCGAAGCAGGAAAAAAAAACCCATTAAAAAAGAACCCTCTTGGATTTAAATAATTATTTTGCACTCCAGCAAGGGAGTATCTATATATTCAATATTTTTTTAAAAAGTGTTTAACAAGAAGTAAATATAGAGGGATGCAGAAGCTTTGCATACAAATCCTATGTAAGGTTCTATATGGAGAAAATAATTGGGGGCCACTCTGTTCTCGAGAATAGGCCATCCTGACCTCAATCAGTGCTTTCCTCCCATCTGACTGGCAAAGGACAAACAGCTTGCTACACTAACCCTACTTTGTCAAAACTTCTGTATATGTAAGCCTAAATGTCTAAAACAACATATTTACTTTTTTTTGTCTCTAGAACAGGGATGTCTATCCCTGGTCATGGAGAGCCCCAGTCCAGCAGGGTTTACAGATAGCCTTCATATAACCAATTACAGCCTGGAACAGATTAAATACGAACAATTAAACAGGATGTGTGTTCAATTATGCAATGTATCAATCATTTGGAACAGAAATCACTTGTTCCTTTGGAGCCTATGCAGGCTGACGTGGCGACCGACTTGAATTAAAAGATAACCTAGTTCTATTTCACATGAATCTAGTAGTCCAGTCGCCTATATCAGCATCCAGATGGAAGGAGCTCAGATTAACTGTGCAAGGAGTGGTCATGACAGTCAGTGATTATTTTTAAATTCTATTGCAGGTACAGAAGCCATGTATCAGCCTAGATACATGTTATTTTCTGTAAACACCACTGAAACGAGACTGCTCGAACACTCACCCTCACTCTGAACAACCATTTTGTGGAAACAGGTATATGCATAAAATTTGAATTTGGGATGATACAGGTGTGATCTTAACAGATAAGAGTAAAATCAACAAATTAGAAGCTGGGTGTAGCACAGCAGAGTGCAAACCTACTGAGAAAATTTTACTTTTCAGAAGGCACCCAATGTAGAAAGTCTCTGGTATCAAATGACCGGCGCCCATCTGTGGTTTTCTGAGACTGCTGAGTCACTACTCAAGTTCAAGCTGACCTGAGAGGGTCTCACTCTCAGTTTGTTTCATGTTCTAATAATCTCTGTGTCACCTACACAATGCAACAACAATATAGACATTAAATTACTATTTATTATTATATAGTACTGTCCAGGGACAAAAGCCCCAAAACTCCTACATTCTGACGGCGTACATTGAATATCATTTCGAAAAAGAAAACTTTTCTATGGGGGTTTTCATCTTCACTGTGTTAGTTAGGGAAACTGTACCGTGAGAAACTCAAGTTAATGAGTTTGTAATTGCAGGTCTTTCGGTGACATATTTCATTATGCAGTCTAATAACGGTTCTGCTGCTGATTAACTCCAAATGGCGTAGTCCGAGGAAATGAGCTTGATCTGCCTTAAGACCATTATAATTCTCCCCGAGTCCTTTAAATAGGATATTTAGGCTTCACTTGGCAAAAATCTTTCTTCAAAATCCCATGTCGCTCCTGTTTGCTTCAGTGCAACGTCTTGTGCGTGTACCCATACCGTTTAGTTGTTAAACAGAATCTATCCGAGAGCGATTTGTGTGAATTTGCTTTCTGATGCCCATTACACATAACATTTGCGTTTCGTACAGTCTAACGACTTCATATTTTCTAACACGGTAAATAAAAAAGCAGCGATCTAATCGTGTGTGGTAGTCTATATTTTAGCACTGGCTGAGTAAGTACAACATTTACATTGTTCCTAAAACAGGGAGGACACTAGTTCTAAACTCTATGAACTGTACTCTATATATACTTTTGTTCTGGGTGGAAACCTTAAAACGACGCTTGTTGTCCAAATCCCTCGGGCACAGAGATCAGATGACATGCCTGTAGTCACATGATCGGCCTCTCCGCTCAGCTGCTGATGTTTATTTCCTCGTTCTACGAAGTAAGTCGAGCTACTGACCCCGAGTACAGCACAAATAGTGAAGTTGTCTTTTCCTTTATTGATGCCGAATCTGCGAAAAAGAGAGGTAGTTCAATGCTTTTGTGAATACCCTCAATTTTGTGCGACGTTTAGTGGACATCCTGTGGTAATGTAACTGGCGTAATCTAATGGTCATTTAGATTGTTTGTGTGTTGTGAAGTAGGAAGCTTGTTGCTTTTAAAATGGGCAAAGAAAGAGGTGTTTGTGGGTTAAACATAAAAACAATCTTCTTGACAGCTTAAAAATGTTTTCCAGCTAGCGGTTATGTATTACTTGTTTTAATACGCTGATTAAAAGTTTCCTATGAATGAACGGGAATGATATCCTTATGTTAAGCTTCACGCTTATTTTTTCCTTTTCAAACCTTTTATCAGTGCCGAGTTTTATACATGTACTTTTAACATGGCAAACAAATCGAGAGTAGACCGACGTAAGTTTCGCATTTTCGTGTTACGAAAAAAAAATCACGACTTGTTGCTTGTTAGTTAGAAATGGCTGTCAGAAAATAACTGAAAGGTATCATGAAATTTCCCGAGCATTGTCCTGATAAGAGACGCCCACTCTTTTTCTAATTGGACGGCTGGAAACCAACTCTTACTTTATTGGTTAAAGTCAGCTTTAATATTGGCATGTGATTGGCTATCTTGTGACAAGCACCCTCCCCTTTTCCTTAAAAGGACATAGTGGAGTCCGACTTCTGTGGGTGACAAGTAGGTTATATGTACAACGATCAAAAGAGAAATTAGAAGAAACATTGAAAACTGTAAAACAAAATTGGATTGCTACATTATTGATTTAAGTATATTGTTTTGCTGTTCTCTCTCTATTAGACGATATTTCCAGCAGGAAAAAACAAGGAAAATGTATGCATTATTTACTAAACATAGCAGAAAGTTTCTTATGTTGAAAATGCTCCTTATTTACTCTATTTCTGTCAAACAAAAATAACTAAAAACAGTAGATTAGTGTTTCACAAGAGTGTTATATTAACTTGAATAACATCAACATCATGCCTTACAGAGAAACATCAGAAAGTGTAGGTATGAGAGACAGTGCCTTTATTTCTGTAAAGAAGCCTCCTTGCTTGAATTTCACAAACCAATCCAGCCCCAGGGTCCCAGTGTCCCTCAGGTCCTGGCTGGACACAGCTACTACACTGTCTGCTCCCGATGGCTTCAGGCAGCTCTAGTCAACAGTAACAGGCAGGCAGGCTTTGAGGTCAAGAATATAACATACTGTAGCTCACAAATGAGATGAAGCCTTTTGACTTATCTAGCCTGTTTGGGAGTCAGTAGTTAGATGATCCAAAGATCTCAGCTGTTTCCTGAAAATGTTCCTGGTTTTAACAACTTGGCTGGGAAACGTGTTTCGTATTCCCACAGCCCTTTGAGTAAAAAAAGTAGCTTCTGTCTTGGGCTCAGCCACAGGGTCGCAGGAGGTCATCCTCATTTTGGACCACCTTTCTGCCAAGGACCTCAGCACCTCTCCCCCTCTTTCGCTTTTGAGCTCTAAAAGCTTCCCCTTCATTCTCACCTGGACTCAGTACATGATTTCAAGTAAGAGATGTGGACCTTCTTGTAGTGGTGGCAAAATGTCCAGACCTGCTGCTCAGGTGTAAAGATCCACCCTTGTGAAGACAGATTGTGACACCCACACGGTGCAGAGTTCAGCATCCTCAGGACGGTGCTGGAAGCCTTTAAGGACCCACTGCTAATGAGCTAAGTGGCCCACTGAGCCCCATTTCTCTGCCACACATCATGCTGATGATTCCTGTGGTGCTGTCTGGTAGGTTAGCATTAGTAATGGTAGCTGCCAGTCTCAGCCATTGAGGTGAGTAAAGTGAGCTGACATAGTGAACAGAGCGATGGAGTGTACTGGTGCGCTGGTCACTGTGCAGATATAGCTGATCCTCCAGACCCTCCAGTCATGACAGACCGCCTGAGAGACCAGGAAGCTAATGTTTCAAGCCTGGTCACCGTGGAGATTCTCTTTATCCCAGAGCAGGCAGTCATCACCAGCATCAGCACGTCTGCCACTGTAGGGTCTAAGGCACCTCTTACTCCATCTAGAACAGGTCACAGGTCACACAGCATGGCCAGCACCCGGGTCTCAGTGTCCCACAGGTCTGGCCTGAGTTTGCAACTGCTGGCGTACCTTTGCAGTGACAGTGGCAAGACATGAATAATAACCAGAGGAAAACATGATTTCCTACCACACTATGATCCTTAATCCAAATAGTTTTCACAATTTGTTTTATTATGTTGTATCATATGAGAGGTAATGCAAGATGAGAGTGTTATAGTTTAAGTAAAAACATAAAACAAAATAGTATGCGTAGTTTCCTAAGAAAAAAGCTGATGTTCTATTTTTCTTTTAGATTGGGTGTGTTTTCAGTCCGTTTGTTGGCCTCAAGATTCAGTGTCTCTGGGACGTTCTGTTAAAAACAAAAGTTTTTCCATAGCCTTGTACTTCACCCGTCGCACAAATAATTTAATTAAATTGCCCCTTGTCGTCTGACTTGCTCTTTTTGTCTGTCAAGGTTGGGATTTTAGCCTCCTGAAGATTCCCTTAATGAATACCTCAGACAGCGAAGAAGAGTTTTGCAATGAGAGGACAGCCTTGGTGCCAGCTGAGAGCCCAACAGTCCCGTCGTATGCTAGTGACGTAGGCCTGCCCATTTCCTCAGATACAGAAGCCATAAGGGTAGGTACTGTTCAGCCACTCGAGTGTCTGTTCCAAGATTTCAAACTGGAGACGTGTGTCCTTCTGTGCCGATTCAGTCCCTGCAGGTTTGACTCTGTCTAGCTGATCTGCTGTGAACTGTTCCCTTTACCCCCCTGCAGCGCCGCCCGGCTGCCGGCTCAGGTGAGAGACAGGATGGGAGACACGTGGATCGGGACTCTGCTTTGGAGAGTGAGGACGAGGAGCTCACTCTCAAATATGGGGCCAAGCATGTCATCATGCTGTTTGTTCCCGTCACCCTCTGTATGGTCGTTGTCGTAGCGACAATCAAATCGGTCAGCTTCTATACTGAGAAGAATGGTCAGCTGTAAGTAATCCCCTTCTCTCTGTTCAGTTAAGGGACCCCTGGAGTTAACCTGAAAATCTGGGATGTGGTATGGAGTGACACTGGTTAAATATCGGCACTGTATGTCTTGACTGGTGGCTCAGTAATACAGTGAGTTCAGTATAAGGATCAATGTTTATTAGAATGTGATTGATTTGCTTTGCCTTAGTACTGTGCCCAGTGATACCTGAGAGGTTCTTTGCTTTGTTTTGTTTTCATGGGATCTGGTGTTATATGCCTTCTTTGAAATGGAGTTTTTCTAATTGGACTTGCCAAATTAATCAAAGGCTTTGAGATTTCAGATCCATGTGCTAGCAAGCGAATTTAATTCACCCGCAATTTATATGCTTGCTGTAAAGAGAAGTTGAAATTATTTTACTTAAATATAATTTTTCGGTTTCTAGCATATTAAGAGTAGTTGGACAATGTTAACAAAATAAATGCAGAGTAATTATTCTATTGTTTAGGTAAGAAATGGACCTCTTAATAAAAATAAAAATCAGGTCATTAAATAAAAAATGTTTTTTTGTTTTTGTTGTTTGCAGGATTTATACGCCCTTTACAGAAGACACTTCTTCGGTGGGGCAGAGGCTGCTGAATTCAGTCTTAAATACTTTAATTATGATCAGTGTCATTGTCATAATGACTATCTTTCTTGTTATCCTTTACAAGTACCGCTGTTACAAGGTAAGAGTCGATCCAATCTGAATATTCTTCCATTGCTTATAATGTAATTATAAATACATTTATAATTATAGTTATTCAGAAATGAGGAACTGGATTTACATGACAAACAGAAAAGATACTCTTCTTCAGCCTGTTTTCTCATATTAAATTAAAATAATTTTAAGAGTATTTTTTCCAAATTCTCATGAAGTGCATGTAATGTGTGTGTTTTGAGTCCGGGATCCAATCCCATCTGCACAAAGGCACCCCTGGTTTTACGTTACACCTAAAACCTCACATATCTCAGAAACACAGCACACTTTGAATAATAGTACTGGCATTTTATCACATTTCATTCTTCAGGACTCTGTTTTCGGATAGCACAGACCGCAGGGCCTCTGTAAAACTCTGGAGTGACGGCTGAGAACTAATCTTTACTGTTGACTCCGGCCCATTCAGTCAGCACCACCGTGCAGAAGGGAGTGTTGTTCAGACCTAGGTGGCATGTCTTAAACTTGCAAAGGGTAATACACATGTAAACGTACCATTTATGCATTTGTAATTCCATGGTCAACCTTTCACCTCTGTGATTGCTATTTTTATTGCAGTTCATCCATGGCTGGCTCATTCTTTCTTCCCTAATGTTACTTTTCTGGTTCAGCTTTATGTACCTGGGGTAAGTTCTTCCTCAGATGTGTAGTCAGTGTGGTAAGGTGTCTAGCATATACATAGTATTGTAGTATACAGTATGTACATAGTATATATGGTATATACTGTAGTGGCATGTTCAAGCAGTATTTTGAAATTGACTTTTTTTTTTAAAGCCCTGAGTATGCAGCAAGTGATCTTTAAAACAAGGTGAAACAAAGACATCAAGAATGGGACACACATCCATTTTACAAAAACCTGTGAATTTTAAATCCAGAGTTGTGAAAGCGAGTGCCAAAATAAATAGTGGTTATAGGGCCAGGACTCATAACTTGAAATATGGATAAATAAGTACCCATACTCAAAATCTGACAGTGGTGCAAGAGAGACCTCAGAGACTGGTTGGGCTTTAGGACCGTTGATGTCTACATGATACAAACCATAGTGAGTGGAATGTTTCTTTTTTCTTGCCTTTGCAGGGAGGTGTTTAAGACCTACAATGTGGCGATGGACTATCTTACCTTGGTTCTTGTCATCTGGAATTTTGGGGCAGTGGGGATGGTTTGTATCCATTGGAAGGGGCCACTGCACCTCCAGCAGGCATACCTCATCATGATCAGTGCCCTGATGGCATTGGTCTTTATCAAGTACCTGCCTGAGTGGTCAGCCTGGGTCATACTGGGAGCCATCTCTGTTTATGGTAGGACATGACCTGTGCCCTTTTACACACTGTGTTGTTGAAATCTCCCTCCAGTTAAGTTGCTTCCTCAGAGCTCAGGTCCAGATATCGTTGAATGTGAGTCGAATGTGAGCTGCTAGACAGCTGTGACCAGGACTCCCCACATGGGCGGGCACAGTTGTCGGGATTGCAGCTGAGATTAGGTCACGGGACAAGCTGGCCAGGGTCTTCTTGACTTCTGGGAAGAGCGGTGACTTCTGTGACCTGTCCCCTGCCAGCAGACCTGCAGGAACATCAGTGAGACATGGGGTACTCCTCCACTCAGATGCTAGGTTTCCCGTAAGGCACCTCAGCCTGCAACCTGTTGAAGATGAATGGCTCTGGCAGGCGGGCCGGTCAGAGAAGTGGTTCAGCAGATCCTCATCCTGCCTTTGCAGTACAGGAGTCACAGCTGCAAGCCAATATAAAGAGCTGAATTTCTCTCTTCATGTCTTAGGAAAGTGAACACCAGAAATGTTTACTGTTATGTTGACATCTATGTCTTATTATAGACTTGAGGTCTGTCTGATAAACTACTGTTCAAAACTCTTTCTAGATCTACTAATCTTGTTTCCTTCCAGATCTGATAGCAGTGCTGTGTCCAAAGGGTCCCTTGAGAATGCTGGTGGAAACAGCCCAGGAACGGAATGAGCCCATTTTCCCAGCGCTGATATACTCTTGTAAGTGCAGGCGAAGAGCATGTGTAGAGAGTACGAAATCTAAATACACCTTGATTTTAGGGACCAACAGTCCTAGTCTGGTACCTATGCATGTAAATTGATGTCAGTGATAATGCAGAATTAATGCAGTAAGTGATGGGGTTTAGTAGTAGAAAAAAATTGATATAATTCTGTAATGTCATAATTTTGATTAATTTCACTATCCTCATGGAGCATGTGAGTCTCCAGAGTAAGCAAGCTTCCAGAGACACATTTTTACTAAATGTGGACAGCAACAAAGGCAGAAAGAGATCCCTTTGCATCAGCTAATAATTCAGGAATGCATGTTTACATACCAGGCCTGTGTTATTGTATCTTCTTCCCTCTAGCTGCCATGATGTGGATGGTTGGAATGGCAAAGCCTTCCACAGCAACGCAGTCTGGGAATCAGGATTCAGGTCTGTGTGTATCTTTCGTTTCCATGCATGTGTTATGGATACCTTAGGTGTGATTCAAGAGGACTGAAAGTGCTCGAGTTCCAGTTACTATGATCTTACTGCAAGTGAATTTGGCCTTGAACAGATTAAATCAGGTTAGATATTTGATTCACAGGGTCAGCCTTGAATGGTAGTTTTAGAGACTCTGCCCTTAAATGTCTTGGTGATGGATACCATCATCAAAACGGGGATATTTTGTGGACATTTATAGATGATCCCAGAGCTTTTGAGGAGCATAATCTTTTATTTTACATTTTCAGACAAATTCTCTGATGAAATGGTACCAAGTATTTTGACCCCATGTGAAAACCCAGTGGCAGTGAAAGTTTTTATAAACTTTCCGAAGTTTTGTAAAACTACTAGGTGACTAAAAAACATTAGATGTTAAACTTTTCAGGTTATAAATAATGGTAGATTTGAAGACAAAAAAAGCAAATATTATTTCACTAGATGAAGTATTATGACTGATATATTCAATACTCCCTTTCACACAGTAATGTGTTTCTAATTCATATGCGTTTAAAACAAATCATAAAGTGGGCTGACATTTTCTTTGATAAATCATCTTTGTTAGTTCAAAGGTATGAATAAATATGGAGGCTCCTGTGTTACTCATTTTCTTAGTCTACAACATTTTAAAAAGAGATATTTCTGTTACTGCTGTTAGATGAAGAAACAAACCAGAATGACCACCACAACACTAATGAAAATTGTGAAGTACCCCCACCTCAGGTGATCAGGGACCAGGGCAGATCTCCCCCTGCAGAGGACGAACATGAAGAGGAAAGTGAGTGAAAATCACTGGTGTCTTTTACGTCTGGCCATTCAGCAGCCCTGCCAGCGTGCTCTTTTCTCACTTCTCATTTTGTGGGCTGGGACAGCCAGGTTAGAAAACTGGTCACCAGAGTCGTACCACATACAATAACAGGTCCATAACAGATTTTGCGAGAACTTCTCCAGCTATTAAAATGCCGTTGCTACTGCTGTGAAGGCAAGTGTTGACGTGGAAATGTTTGCTACCAAGCTATTGTGTGACTGAAACCATTTGCTTCCCCTTAATGCCAGATTATTGCCGAATCTGCACATGACAGCAGAAGAGAAAGAGCTAAGTATTGTGGAGGGTTTTTTTTTTGCAGCACATCTATATTTATTGACGAGTTCCTCTTCCATTACAGGGGGTGTGAAACTGGGTTTGGGGGATTTCATATTCTACAGTGTACTGGTGGGGAAAGCTGCGGCTACGGCTAGTGGGGACTGGAACACCACACTGGCCTGCTTTGTGGCCATTCTAATAGTAAGTCTTATTTCCACATTCACCTTCATTTCCCATGAACTAATGGCAAAACTCTTTGAAACCCTGAATTCCTTTTTCTTAACTTATTGTTCTTTTATGCATTATGCTAATGCATTGCTTAAAAAAATCAAATAAAAGCACTTGTTCTCATAAAAAAAATAGCCCTTTAACCCACTGTGAGAGAGGAAGGGAACAGTGAATCCACTGTCTTATTAAGGAGTAATGTGGTAGAACATTTTTCAGCCTGCACTCTTGCCTTTTCTTCGAGCCAGTTTAAGGGAAGTGGCGCAAATATGTGATATATGGATTTTAAAGCCTTTAAGGCTGACCTTCTTCTTTTTCAAGCTTCAGCCTGGTCTTTAAGATCAGGTCAATTTAATCTGCAGCAGGTCCGCAGAACCAAACTACTATGGGTGACTGTGCCTTATGCATCTCTGCTCCTCACTTGTGGAACAGCCTCACTGATCATCTCAGACCAGCAGTTCACAACTGAGATCTTTCAACTGCGAACTTTATAATATCTTCAAACACTTGTTCTTCCAGCACGCCTACCAAATTCCAGGACTATACTGTAAATTAATTCCCCACTCTCTTCTGTCTTAACAAAGTTCCTAGACTTCTCTTTTTCAGTTCTTCTTTTATAGAATGCAGAGTGAGATTGTAATGACTCCAATGAAATGTGCTTTAGAATTTAAATGGTATGTGAGCTGCCGAGAGGTACACAGATTCTCACTGATGTCTCAATCTTGTCTCTCATAGGGCCTGTGCCTCACACTTCTCTTGCTGGCTATCTTTAAGAAGGCTCTGCCAGCTCTGCCTATCTCCATCACCTTTGGACTTATCTTCTATTTCTCTACTGACAACCTTGTCCGACCTTTCATGGATAAGCTGGCTGCTCATCAGTTCTATATTTAGCTCTGTGTACAAGATATTTACAGATGGGGATGCCCACTTGATTAAACTGGTGTTGTTTAGTTTCTACAATGTGCCACTAGAGGTTTAATGCAGATATGTAAAAAAAACAATGAAGTACTATTTTATGTTTATTTTTAGTAATGTATATTACTGGTGTAATGACAGCTTGAAGAGACTGACACCCAAATTAATGAAACCAATACTCATTGGTGCAGTTGTTTTATAAATTTTAAATCATAACTTGTTTTTTTTAATTGTGATGATTTAAGGAATGTTGATTAACGTTGAATTCAGAATATTCTTTAGAAATGAGTTTAAATGTATGGCTGGACTGGTTTGTATTCGTGCAATACTTCTATTTAAAGATTTTAAACGAAGTAATTCAAAGGACCATATTTCTATTTTAAATGGAGACAAAACAAAAATATTAATTTAACACTGGAACAAAAGCACTAAAAATCATGGTGCTAAACATGTTTAATATTCATTTATAGCAAAAGTTGTGGTTATATGCATTTGTTAAATGGTGTGAATGTATCTAAAATTGTCTTTATATTGAAAAATGTATATTTTATAGAATGTAACAAAAGTGAAATTTTATTTTGTATCCGTTTGAAATGATTAGAAAATTGTCCAAAATGTGACTTTATCATTGTGTACCATTTTCAATGTGTTCTATAATAAACTGTTTATACCTTACTTTAACAGATATGAAGTGTAAAATAGTTTTGACTTAAGTAGAAAAAGTGTGCCTCAGCCTCAGAAAGTGAAAATTCTATAATATAGCACTTCTCATGGGCAGTTTTCTCTTTACTCAACTCCAGTGCTATATAAAACAGTTTATGTACAGTGATGTACTACAGCATTAGGTAAACACAAAACAAGGAAACAGATCTTACTTTCCTATCCTATTAGTGATCACCACATTCTTCAAACCCAAGCAGAGTACAAGCAAAATAGACAATTTATATGGTATATCATAGGAGAAAGAAACCCCCAAAAAAACGTGTGCCTACTAAATATGTAATCTATTTTTCTCCTCAGACTTAAAACAATGTTGGATCTGTAAAACATTTACATAAACCACAGATGGTTTTAACCTTTTATTAGTCAAATATTGCTTCATTACGATCAAACAGGTAGAGTAACATTTAGCATTTACACATGCAGTTTTTCAGTTGTATAAAAGCATGTATGCATTTTCCTGCGGTCTTCAATACTTGCTCCATTCATCAAGATTGACATTACACCTTGAGGCATTGCAGTATATGAACATTTCAACCATTTTCGTTCCATCAAATAAAACAGTCATCATAATGCAGTAATATCAGGTAGAACCATATCCGCATAAACTACAATTCTGCAATGAAATACCATTTTTTATCCAGCAATTATATTGTTAACAGATAAAGATTTAAAAAAAACATTAAAAAGTCTGTAAATGCTAAGTAATGTGAAGATGGAGATGGCGATTCTCAGCTGCCTGCCCAGGAGTCAATTCCGATCTTCAAATTGTGATTTGTTCTTAAGAAGATATGCTGCTAAAAACTCAATGGGATTTGGAGGTCTGAAAAAAAGTACACCAATATACAGAGATCACAATTACTCTTGGTTAACATTAGGCACTTCAGAACATTCTAATGGGATTCTGTAAATTAAATTGCCAAGCACAACTTCAAGAGATAAATGCTCATGGCATTAAGTATTCTAATCAGAAAGACAAAAGGATTCATTTTATTGTGAGTTTTGATTCAACTTTACAATCTTGATGAAAGGCACCTGTATGGTATCTGTTTAGTAAGCAAACTTAGTAACATTTTGAAGTGAAATTACTCATTTAAAAAATTATAAATTAAAACTTTAAGCTAAAACAAAATAATTCACAGTACCAGCACATGGGTGATCGGGGGATTATGGGATAAGTATTATACTTTATTTTAAACAAAGTAAATAGTGATATAGAACATTTTGTAATTTGCAGGCTTAGATTTATAATTACCATAAAAGCCCCATAGACTACACCATAATATCAGCCTGCTATTCTACAATTTAGCACACTTTTTAAAACTATTGCAACCTTTCAATACTCGTCTGCATCCAAATTACAGGAATGACATGCAAAGCCTGTCCAAATCCTCATTAAAAGCATGCAATATGACATTTCTTAGATCTAATTAGATCTTTTTACCTCTCTTTGGCCAGCACAGAAAGGCCCTGTAGAAGAATAGGTACAACAGTCTGGTCCAGATACGCTCGTGTTGGAAGTGACTGTAGATCTACCTTCTGCTTTGAAACCTTTTCTGCACTGGATTTCTCATTTTCCACTATCCTCTGAAGGACAAAGGGGGAAATGTGCATATTAAACAGCCTATGATATACATGTTAAAAAAGTGATGTTATAGAAGTATCATATCATGTACCTGTACATTTTCTGTGAGACCATAATCTGCATGCGGATTTTCTGCAACCTTAAGTAAAAAAGCAAAACAGTTAGTGACAAAAAATCCAATCACCAGTTACCTATTAGTGTTATTCTAAAACTGCAGTGTTGTAAGCATAAGTAATTATCTTAACTTACAGGTGTGTGACCTTCCAGGGTTTGCTCTGCGTCAGTGTGATCTAGAAGAAAGAAAATCCTTAAGACTGTTGAAAGAATACTTTTGGACTTATTTACAACAAGAAACAAAGTGGGAACATTTCAACTTAAATGGAATGAACCATTACGTCAAATACATCTGACAATAATCCCATTGACAACTTTCACGGCATTAATTTCATGCATCTAAGTATCAGTCAAAAGAACAGCATAAGTGACGTAAAGATCAAAACGTCATTACACCAAGGGTGTAACAAAAAATACTTGATATTAAGACAAATTAAGATGCAAATTAGATTTCAGTACTATTCGTAACAAAAACAAGCACCCTATAACACGTAACAAGGCGTTTAAAACTTCACAAAAAATCCGAGCTAACAAACGCGTTTTAGATGACACCTCTTCTCAATACCACCACGTTAGACAAGGGCCCAGTTCGACGTAATTCTTGGTAACGTTCTCTCTTTTCATGAAATGTCAATTTAATGCCCTTTTAGGTTTTCTCCCTATCACTGGTTTATGTCTTTGAGTGTATATGTGGCCCTTTTTCAGAAACAGCGTGCGTTGTGTGGTAATGAGTGCGTGCGGCCAGGATACTCATTGTGCTAAGTCATGAGACAAACTCTTCAATTTCCTTGTTTCGACCACCTGCAGCCAGACTCCTGCTCGATGCCTGCCACCGTATACCATGTAAATGGCCAAAATACCCGATCATCAACGCTACATCTTCCCTATCTACAACACAAGACTTTAGACTTTTCATTTACAAACCCGCAACTCTCTTTGCTTGACAACAGAGGCCCCAGTTGCAAAACAGAAACGGCCTCCTACGAATGTTGAAAACCACCCCTTAATAAACCTCAGCGGTACTACGTCAACTTAACTACATGCACATTTCCGAGAAATGCTCGAGTGTGGACATTTTAATTCAAAATTCAAGAAAAACAGTGCCTAAAATCCTCAATCATCAACTCACCGTCCGCCATGTTTGTTGTCGGTTTCTACGCGCCTGCACGCAAATCCGCCAACCAATCAGCGCTAAGTTGATCTAAATGTTCTCACCAATTAGCGAGCCGCTTCGATCTTTTAATTCGGTGATTGGATACTGTCAGCGCAGACTTCAAATTGGTTCATCCGATTGGCTGCAGGTCCTGAAAGCTGTTTCTTATTCGATGGGGATGACAGATCGACACTGTAGCGGTTATGCGCGGACTCACTGCCCTGGAATAAAAATAAATCAACCTTCATTAAAAACGATGTTCACAGGGATTCCGTAATCTGTGAAATGGTGCATACATCAATAATTCCATTGTGTCAGATATTTTTATACATGTTTTAAATAATTCGTTCAAAAAGCGGAAATAGTTTAAGCGAATCTTACAATACCTAATGGCCTAATTTATAGCACCGCAGTTTATTAAACAGTATATTGTAGTGATAAAGGTGCAACGATATAGTGTGGATCACGTTTTCTAAGTGATTTGTTGTTCTGCTCCGTCCATTTGATGTTGTCTTTGTATTGTCATGTTGCAACGTTTTTATCTATGCGCCCTTGAATGGTTGTATTTTTTTATAATAAAATATGAAAACGTGCTGAGACTTGCACAGTGGTAAGTGTACCAGTCAAAACTGTAGCACATAACACTTTTTGGAAAGTATAGTGGAAATAGACTTCAAATGATTGATTTACCGTTATACGATCTCGTACTGTTTTTGCTTAAGCATGTTTGTCGTGAAACAGTTCAGACTACGCTTCGTCAGCTGGAAATCAAACACAATGATTTTCCAAGAATGCAGCCCTCGAAAGCATTTTCTCCAATATCGTTAACGTTTTACTCCAGATTGGTGTGACACAAGACAATGAATTCTGTCAGACATTAAATTAGATCATAAGATTAGATAGTTCCACAACAAATGTAATTGCTCTATTTTATTAGTGGGCATATTTTTAACTTACTTTTTTTAATCGTAGGCACTTGTGTACCGGTTGTGTAGCACAATACGTGAGAGTTTAAACTGAAAGGTACAGAGCACGGTCTTGTGGACATTTATTTTACAATACATTTTGCATATATCGTTGTTGTTAATATTTTTATATTGCATTGCCTATATCCATGTACATAAAAAGTTCAGACTGTGTCCATACAGGGAAATAAATTTGACACGGTACCGACTTCACCCGCACACGCTGTATTTGCGCATCTCGCAGTCGTTTGAAGCCCCGTGACCAGGTGGCGCTAGCAGGGGAATGAGATTTACACCCAGCTGACAAACAGGTCTCTGTCTGCCGCCGCTCTGCGCGGCTGCTCTCTGGGAGCTGCGGGGCCTGCGCTAATGTTGCAGATTTCTTTTTAGATCATTTTTTATTTAAACACCAGAAATACAAAAAGGGAGATAGAATATTACAATAGATACAGAAATAGACACTTCACAGCCAGAGGAATTCACAGTTGTAAAAACTAAAAATGGTACATATTTCCATTGTATGTCTTGCCTTTTGATTCTATACATGTCTAATAGAACTTAAAAAAGTAACTCAACTTTAAAAGCATAAATAGAGGGAGCACTATCAGACCATTTACTTTTGTGGATGAAGTATCTAGCCAAAAATAATTAACATATTTATAATAAAAACCATATCCTTTATCCAAATCAGATCTAACAACATCTAAAATAATATCAAAATCTTTCACTTGAACTGTAATGTAGATTTCAGGTTTTCTTTTACACGCAGGCTCGCTGCAGGATCTGCGCAGTCTCGGCCGCGGATTTCCGTACGTCAGCGCCTCGCGACGGCCTGCCTGCCTCCGGACCACACGCGCATGCGCACGCCCCCCCTCCCCCCGTACGCTACGCTAGGCCACGCCCCTCGCGCTGCTCGCGCTCCTGCGGCCTCGGGCGAGAGCTGTCAAAGGGGCAGCGGGTGGCGGGTGCGCGCGAGTCCGGCTGTGTGTTATGGAGGCGACGGCGCGCCAGGTGAATGAGTTCTCCGGGCGGAAGAGGCAAAAAGAAGAAAGGCTCTGCCTGCGCCAGCTCCACACCCGAAGGCGACGCCCCCGATCAGGTGTCGCTGCATAAGCGGAACCTGTATTATTTCTCCTACCCACTGCTGGCGGTGTTTGCGCTCTTCCGATTCCTCGCCTTGCACTTGGGCGTCTTGTTCGCCTGGCTGTGTGAGCGGCTGTCCGGAGCCATGGCGGCCAAAAGCAAGCTGCCGGCGACGGCCGACCTGGGCAAAGACTGCGAGGACAACGGCGAGCGGGTGCGCAACCACCATAAGCAGGCCTTTGAGTACATCTCCATAGCCCTCAGGATCGACGAGGATGACAAAGGTGAGCGGGGAGACGGGAGGTGGGGAGATGCAACATCATATTATTAATCACAATCGTCCCGTTACCAGTCATAGTAAGCGATGCTTCTGTTGTGCACCGCTGTAAGAGCAGCTGGTTCCCCAAAAAGAACAGGTTAAGATTTAATGACATATAAGTGACGAAACTTTGGCAATCCCAAGGTTTTGTTTTGGACTTGAACCTGTTCGTCTGCGGCTGATCTCCGGTACCGGGACCTGGTTCCGCTCTAGACTGCACTGAAGGCATGGCAGCGTCTTGGAACAGGTGCAGCACTGGGACGCACGCCGTGAAAATAATAATAAAAAAAAATCAGACGTTGCCGGGGTAGTAAAATAAACCTTTTGAGAAGGAGGGGAGACTTGTAGATGAGTGTTGACATTCAACTCGGTTCTGTGATGCATTGTAAAACCAGGAAGTTTGCAAGAAACATACTTTGTGACCCCAGAACAGTTCGACCCCCCCGGACCTCCTGCTCGAGTTTGCAATTAAAATTCCAAATTGTAATTAAAATCCATCATCACGGCCGGCTGTTTAGTTTATGTTTTAAAGCGGTTAATTGCACCGTTGGGCCTAGAATGTGGGTTTATTTATAGAAAGAAAACATGTCAGTTTCACTTTCTCTGGGTTAGGTCTGCCTTATGACGATTTGGGACAGTAGGCTAATAAAACAAAATGCAACAAGGTGTGTCAGTAATAAATTATCAAAGCCAGTTTAATAATGTTGCTTGTGAGAGGTCACAGTGTTGGTAAGTGACACTCAGATGCTTAAGCAATTGAATCCATCCTGAGTGTAGATGATGCTCAGAAGCACATGTAACCCGAGATGATGCCCTCTTGTCTAGCTCAGTGCGGGGCTCGATGAGGATGGACAGTAAATGTCTTGAGGAAGATGCTTAGGCAGAGCATTCCCTCAGAGCAATATCCAGTATGTTTTGAGGTTTCTGCTAGAATTATCACCCGTCCACAGACACATGCGATAGTAGTGCAGGTGATCTGCAGTCAAGAGCGCAGATAATCCTCAACTCTAATCAGGCTTGGGAATGTCTGGGCACTTTTTGGTGATGCACTTGTGATGAATTATGTAGCTGTGGCTCTCCTTAGACACTTCCCCTTGCATGCATAATTAATGGCCAAATCTGCTGGATTTCTGTCTCCTCCATACACCTATTTGTAAAAAAAAAACAGCTGTGCCTTAATCTGTGCTAAGAGGTATTAAAAATGCAACATGCTGCTGGTGCTGTTATTTGTTTGGTGTATTTTTAATGCCTTTCAGTGGTGTAGCAGCGTTAAACTCTTAAAGAACTGCAACCGATAATGGGGCTTCATTGTCACCTCCTTATTAGAGATTAAAAAAAGACCCTTTTAGCCTTTGTTGAGCCCTGAGATCTCCTACATGCGTGCACTGCCCGGCTGTTCACTCGGGATCATTTGTACTGCGCGGACCTGGCTGACCTCCCTGTGACACACACCATCAATACCGAACGGGGACGCTCAGTCCATCTTCCGTACTGAGTAGTTGGAGCCATTCCAGTAATCTTTACTGGGAAATTACATTACAACTCTGTTTCTTTTCGCTGTAATTTTGTTGGAGCTTTTACGGCATTAAAAGGAATTGTATTTCGTGGCTGATTCTTGGTATTTAAGATGAGTTACAGGAGTTGGGCTCATAGAAGCCCGCTTGGGCTTCCTGCGTTTTACCCAAGCGGTCTAGCTCCTGAGCTGGTTGCTCGACATCATCTGTTATGTGAAGCAGAGCACAGCAGTTCCCATTGAGCCAGCAGAGAGCCTCATTAGACAATCGATGTGTTGTGAGATGTAGCTGTCTGACGGGCGTCACGACTGTGAAGGGCAGCCGAGCGTGGTGCACATCTCCCAGAGTGAGGGGGCCGAGGGGCTCTGGGCTCGGGGCGCGTGGCTTAATAAGCTCCTACTGACTAATGATGTTAATGGAGTTTCATGCATGTATTTTCATATTTTGTTTATTTAGCCGATGCCTTAATCCAAGAAGGCATTTCTTTTGAAATGAACTTCTCAAGCGCCTAGTCAAAACCACATTTTTATTCAACAGCCAGTCTGTGGCTTTTGAGCTGCATATACTTGTGTATAAAAAAGTGAAAGGTGAACTAATGATATATCGGGGTTGTTTTACTGCGTACAGCCTTTGGAATGGCTGACGTCATAATTATTGATTCATGCTTCAAGTTTAAAAAATATTTAATCTGCGTGCTCCTCTGAATTGTTGATTCTTTAAATAATGAACCTGAATTGTTGATCGTATTCCTTCATGGCACTTCAGTAAAGTGCTGCCTTTGAACTTGCACATACAAGCAGACCTGTTATGGTTTTCCCCAGATCTGAGTATGAGATTTGTCTTAGTTTTTCCTACTTCACATGTGGCTCTTACTTGTAGTAGTCTTGTCTGAAGTTTATAAGGGGAAAGTTTGTTTCCAAGTGACAAGGTAATGGTACCTTTCATGACTACATGAAGACCATACAATAGTTACTGAGAATCAGAGGTCATGCGCAAAGCTAGTATATGTTTAAAAAATACTTTTTCAGACTATGATGTATTTGAGGTTTATTTAGAAAACCCATAATATGCCTCATTGCCTGAGAAAGAAGCTCGTAAAAGGTGAGATAAAAATAAATCCAGCTCACGTTAGATGTAGGTGTTTTATATACGTTTTAAAATATTTGTATACATTTTCTTAAGGTAGGTTTTGCATTACTTTGACTGCTACATGGCAAATGAATCTGAGAAGTTTGGGCATGATGTAAAGAACGGATCTTGAGCCCCATGTCGTGCTCCAGCACCGCTTCATTGATTGATGTCTCCAGAAATCGACAAAGTGGGAACAGAAGTCCCAGTGGATGCTGTACAGACCTCCGGGGTCTGGTGACGAAAGTGATTTCCTGGATCTACGGCTCCGGTGGCTGGCTTAGATAATAGGGTGTGACTGCTAATAGCCAATATCAGGATCGCACATCCTGCTTCTGTCTCGGGACATGATTCCGACTCACCTCCCACACGGCCGGAGACGGAGCTGAAAGAGACGTACAGTAGTATTCCATGAGTCTTCACTGTGAAAATCGCGAAGGGAACACGCATAGCTTTAGCAGTCAGGAAGCTGAAGGTCGACAGCACGTGTAATTGACACGTGTAATTCATCAACTTAATACTGATAATTTAATGACCTGCCCTGAATATGGGTGATAATTTGGCAACTCTGATGACTGTGAAGAGCAGCCAAGCATGGAGTACATCTCCCAGAGAGAGGCAGCAGGGGCCATCTCAGCTGCTGTTGATAACCAACGTCATCTATCGATAATCCCCTGCAGGCTGGCAGTATTGTATATGCATTCGATAAGTAGGCACACAGGCAGTTTGGGACAGTAGCACTGGGTCTCTAAGCTGTTGATTAAAGAGATTTCAATATTTTTGAGATGGGTTCATTTACGTATTACCACTTTTATCTTACTAATTCAACAGAAACTTAAATTGGGTTCATCTGTTATTGAGATTGAACGCTGCTGCTACATGATGTCGGATTTCAAAACGGTGCCTATATAAAGTACTTATTTGCAAAAAGGTGATTTTTATTTTTTTTTTTAGAACTTAAACAGAATATATGTTCTAAATTGAAGACCATCAGCTTTATAACGTTTTAATCTGATTTGGTCAGATCTCAGGGTCTTATTGAGGTTGGTCCTGGTCAGTAATGGAATGGGAGACGTCTATGGAAAACCAGTTTGCTGTTGTTCACGGTGCCAGTAGACCTACAGAGGGTGCTCATTATAGCACATTGTGTTATAGAAGGTGCCACCTTTTATGTAAGATGTTGGCCAGATAGTCAGGACCTTAGTTTATTTCCAATTCCAAGACATAGATTGAAAATCTTGGGGTATTAATCCTGATGTCCTGGCTAAATTCCACTTCGCATTTCAACAATCTGTCCACCCCAAATTCATCATCCTGTTGGATACTACACATCACCGGTAAATAAAATCGGTCCTACTCTTTTGTAATTCTTTGAGAGGAAAAGCATAATTAAAATACAAGGAATTATTATTAATTGCGGCTGTACATTCCTGGTGCCATTTTCTCCTGGCAATACTTGGAACACACATTTATGTACAATTCATGGATGACAGGGTTTATTAAGCATTTGTAAAGCGATTGCAATAAAACAATCCCATTAAAAAAATAGCAGGGGCTTTGTCTCCTTGTTAGTAGGTGTCTTAATGGCTGGTCTACAATAGCCCCCGTCTTCATTTGAGCCTAAAGTGGAGAGGGTGGTATATAGCTGTAGGAAGACCTGATCTGAAAATTTTGTGTTAGTAATCTTTGTATTGTTTTTCCACTGTATCCCTTGGGGGGGATTTTGAAATGTCCATGTTAATTTTTGACCTAATTAGCAGATGGCACATTAGTTTTCCACAACAATTTCTCTTGAGACTGTTTTCCTGTTTTTTTTATTGTAGTACATCATCTTTGTTGCTGTAATCAAAAGTTAAACAGTAATTTTATTTTTTTTAATATAATGTCCTCTCCCACTTAACATTGTTGTCTGGGGAGGGATGCAAGTTTTTTTTAATCAAGCTCTTTAGAAAATGAAGTTATATTTAATCAGTTCACTTATAGAAGCTTTTCCAACTGAGTGACAGTGAACAGCAGAAAAACTATCGAAAGCCACATACATATTCATGTTCAGTTAATCCTGTCTGGCACAGAAGTGCATTAAGTGATTAAAATGGTGCCACCTAAGGAAACTATTATGTCCTTGTTTATATGGTTAATCTATCATCCTGTTCCTCTAATTGATGTCAAAAATACCTATCTGTGCTGTTGTTATTTGCTTCGTCCCTGCTCTTTGGAGAATGTTGACAAGAGCTCCAGTTCATCTGTAGTAGTTCCTTGCTTTAAGACAGATGCAATCAGTTTGGCACTGAAAATGTTTCAGTGAAGCCAAAAAGCATTCTGTACTGTCTTGGCAATGAAATCTGCATTAAACCACATATCAATATCATAAGTATACTAGCATGATTGACTTGGCTATCTTCCAACCACACAACACTTGTCACCTCTATCATCATGTGAAGCTGAAGCAATATATTTGCATTGTCTTAAGAAACAGGAACGAGCACATTGTCCACAATATTTTCTTTGTATCTGTGTCTGAAATTACCTGCTGAATCAGCGATACCATTTTCGAGAAGCTACCAACAGGCCTTCTTTAAAGTATAAGAGGAGCCAAATAACCTCTCTTCATCCTGATGCCCCTGTGGGCCCTAGATTACTGATGTATGAGTAATGTAGGGATAATGACTCAAACCATATTCTGTGTGCCTGCACACATGCTCTCTCTCCACTTACACTGTCTTTGGGGGTTTGAGCAGCCCCTGTTACCCATTAGAAATTGCTCTAACTTCATTTGAATTTCAGCATTCAGCTATTCCCCATCCTGTCTTACTGTATGTGCCCCAGGGTGGCTGCTGCTGCTTTAAAAAAATGTTCTGTATGCTTGGCTTCTATTTAATGTCTTATGAATTGTTGAGAGTTAAATAGTTTTCAGCTGATACAGTTTATCAACCAAGTTTGTACAATTTGGATTTAAATAAAAAATCCTGAAATCTACTATTTAGTCTTTTTTAGCTGGTTTACGATACTATTTAGGAAGAAGAGCCTTTATGAGGATTGTCCCTCAAAGATTATTTTAACTTCTTATTATTTTTATATATTGTATGTATAGTCATTTATGGTTTCGAAAGCCACTTTTACATGGTACTGAGTTTAGACGTTTCCTTATTTGCTCTCCCTTACACCCATAGCTTTATCCTGGGAGCTTTGACCGTGACATTACAGAACAAAGGATCTGATTCATTTTTGCATCCTTGTCTTTTGTTTTGTTCTGTGTCATGGGCTCTTCCTTCCCCAGGGAATACAGATATTCTCCTGCATTTCGGAGCCCTGGATTATGGAATGGCTGTTAGGGCTCTCTCATACTTGGTAAAATGATTATTCCGAAGCCCAGACGTGTCTTCGTGTCTTGACAGAAAGTAATTGATGAAGCGCTGTTCCGCGTGAGCGCCTGGCAGATGGCTGGACAAGTTCGGAGTGCAGGCTTGGCCCAGCCTGCCTGTCTTGTGACAGCCGATCTGCGACCCCCCCCAGCTCTGCCCCGGAGGCTAGCCGCGCTGGCTGTGTTAGGGTGCGGGTTTCGCGAGTGACATAGTGTTTAGGGCGCAGGACTCCTCGGGGGCCAGCCATGGGCGTTTATAGGGCTGCGTTACCTTACAATGTAACGCACGGTACTGTACTTTTCCCCCACATTGTTCAGCAAAGTCCAGCTGGATGAATTGGTACAGAAAATGTTTGTGCAACAGAAGAAGTAACTGTAACCTGTCAATCACATCAATAAAATCAGCATAATAAATAGAATGTTGCACTAATACGTATAAGGTAGAATATAGAGTCATCTCATTTTCATACAGTTTGGATTATGCATGAATAGTATTCCAGTATTGTAATAGGTACTGGTACACAATTATGAAACAAAAAAATCCATTGGCTCGGCAGTGTGTTGTATTGTGTATTATAGATATGGCCTTTGCCCATTTTGTGTTATGCGACTCTGTCCGAATGCAGTGCAAGTGTTTATTCAGACCTTCAGTGAGAGCCTCTGTGCTGTCTGCAGTAATGTAGTGAAGAAAATTAATCATATTTCTGAACACATGATAGCCTGCAGTATGAGAAACCAAAATACAGTACTTGTAGAACAGCAGGCGTAACACTAGGAGAGCTGAAGGCACGGTCTCATGACTCTGGTGAAGAATGTGGATTTCACAGACATGGCTTTGTGTACTGCAGGCATCTTCACAAAGTCCTTAACATGCATTTTACGGCATTGGTTCATGTGGGGAGCTGTATCAGTGCATGTTGGCCTCAAAGGAACAAGTAAAGGTTATTTCCATGCTGACAAGTAGAAAGACAAAACCCAGCATTTCGGCTGTTGAGCCCTTTCCAGGTGTGAAGAATTCCAATAAAACCTGCTGCTTTCTACTTTTCAGCATTTACCTTTACTTTTTTTTTTTCCAGCCGTATTATCAGCAATCAGCAATCTTATTGCAGGCTGTGTGATGGATTTAGGAATTTCAAATTCCCATCAAAGAAATAACTCAAATGATCCAGGGCTCTGGGCTGGAAATGGATAAATTCCTTGAGAGACAGCACTGCAAGCTGAGAAGTGCCCCCAAAGTTTATGGTTGTTCTGGTCTGGTTCATAGTTCATTAAGTGTAGTGCAGTTTTGAACTTGTAGTCCCTATACTAAGAAAACAAGCATCTTTACCAGTTGAGACAAACGGGACAGATGCCACCTGTCCTGTAATTTAAAATGGGGGGGGATGCAGGTAGGTTAATAGGCTTCTGGGAAACTTGGAGTGTGAGTCTGTGTATGTGTGCCCTCTGCTGGACTGGTGTCCCATCCAGGGTGTAACCTGCCTTGTGCGTGTTTGCTTGCCAAGATAGGCTCTGGCTCCCCTGTAAACCTGAATTGGATGAAGCGTTTAGAAGATGGATGGATGTATTAATGATAAAGTATGAAAGCAAGACAATTGTATTAGCTCGGGCACAATCGCTGAGTACAAAGTATAATTTGTTCTCTTTAAAGAACAGAAGGAAAAGTGGCAGACGAGTGAAGAGAGAGTGTGATTGCTGAATCTGTTGGTCAATGAAGTTTAACCTTTCTGTTAACCTTTTCTGTGATTTTTGAAAGATGGGTGAACAGAGATGTGAAATCTAGTTTTGGGTTTTCCAGGCCATAAAGAGCAAGCTGTGCAGTGGTACAAGAAAGGAATTGCGGAGCTTGAGAAGGGGATTGCTTTACCAATTACCGGAGAAGGTAACATTTATTATTTATGGTTTATCTGCGTTGTCATAGTTTGAAACCTTTTTTCTTGAGGCAGTTTGGGATCTTATGTTAATTCCGTAGCCTGCTAGTGTTTATAAAGGTTTGTGGAAATGTGGAACAAGCTACCCAGCCAGTTTTGTTAAAGCCAAGACCCTGGCTTCTTTCAAGAACAACTGAATGAGATTTTTGGACCTACAATGAACTGCTACTTGACGGGCTAGTTGGGCCTCATGTTCCTCTAGTTTGTTCTAACTCATCCTGTAAGGCATCCACATTCCAGTATAGAAAAAATTCTTTTAGATTGTTACATTTTCATGATTAATGTACAGTAGATGCAGATGATTTCATAAATGTTGTTAGGTCTCTTTTTGATTTATTTTGATTTTTTTTTCAGCTGTAATTTCCTTTTTCTTAAAAAAAAAGGCAGCTTTCTTTTAGCATGATATTGAATTTCTTAGTGATATATTTGTTTAACATGCATTTCCCACCCATGCAGGAGAGCATTATGAGCGTGCAAAACGACTACAAGCCAAGATGACCACCAACTTAATAATGGCCAAGGATCGTCTAAAACTCTTAGGTGAGCAGTTGGTAAAAGGAAAAACTGATTGTTCAGAGTTCAGTGTTTTACTTCTTTAATGTTCCGTTATCAATGGTGTAAATTGATCTCATGTTTTTCTTTGTGCTAGTTTGTTCTTACCCTTTTGAAGCAAACACAATCCAAAACGTAACAGGGGATTTACTAGAAAATGTTTCCATTTTTTCCAAAGATTTGATGTTTTCAGCTTTGGATTGAAACAAAAATCCAAAGATTAATGGTTTGGAACACATGATTTATTGGCAGAACTGTTATTAAGAAGTAATGGGTAAAGTAATGGAATACTAAACAAACCACATGCACCCTTAAGGCAAAGAAGGTAATACAATGTTAATAATTCAGTGTCTTTTAATATTTCTTAATTGCAAACATAGAGACTTAAAGAAATTCTTAAATCTTTAAATTTTTACCTTAAAATTAAAAAAAAAAATATGACGAACAAAGCTATGTTCAAAATATTAGTCTGAAAATCCGCACTACATTGAAATACATTTTGAAATGCACTTTGGTCGATGGTAGCCAGCTGTGCAGTTTGTGCATGCTCCCCATGGGTGTTTTCTGGTTAGAACAGCACTTGTTTGTCTCACTGCACTGAGAGAAGAATGGAGATGATTCTCTGTTCTTCAGCTTTGGCATCGTGAGTGAATGCAGATCGTCATGCCGTGATACAGAAGGCCTCTCGCCATATCCCCTGAGTTCTGCGAATAAAACAAACATGGACACTAGTCTAACATTTACAAAACTGCCCCTCTTCAGTGTTCGCAGAAATAAAACATGGGTGTTTGCATAACACCAGCGCCTCTAATTATAAGCAAAATAAAAATGTGTATTTCAGCCAATACGTTTCATTTCCTTTTTTAAACAATTAATACAGTAGGCCTGGGAGAAGCGTGTTTTTGGTTTTAAATCGTTTTTCATTTTTGAGAAAGAGTCTGCATTTTATACCTGCTGTACAGCACCTGATATCACAAAGTGGGGTAAATGCTGGTAATTTGGCTGCCTCATTTGAGCTCAATTAGCATTTTAGCACGGGTTAAATATTTTAAAATTAATTTCGGAAGATACAGTTTCTTCATTCTGGGCTGCTTCGCCCATAAGAACTAAACTAGATGGTTTTCCAGAGGCATTTCTTGCCCTCGCCGTGAACTTGAGTGTAAGTCCACAGACAAACAAGTAGTTGCTCAAATAATATGATAGTGTTTCATGGTTTCCCGCAGTTGTGTACAAGCTGGGCAGGTTGCCTGGCCAAACAAATGCATGAAAGCCAACAAAAAGCAGACAAGAATCCGTCCTGAAATACTGTTTCGTAGTAATGCACTGCAAAGTCATTTGCCAGCCAGTAGCCGTGATGGTACATAATCGCATAGCTCTCAAGTCTCACACATTGGGACAAGGATCTCATGCGTCTGCATCAGGTCCAGGTTGTGTAATTGAAGTAATGAATGTAAGATTTTTAAATTGTTGTCGAGTTTCGCGATTCAATTAGTTAATCAGTGGGGTTTTTTTGTACACGGCCAAACGAAACCATCAATTCAAATAGTATGAAATCGTAAATTTCGACAGAAAATCTCACACATTAGGGTTTTGGACCCTTGGGATCCGTGTTTGGAAATGACATAGGAAAAAGCCCAGGGTTTCCTTGCAGCTCAGTCATCGGGTCAAATACTGTGGGGTTTCATGATTTCTAAGGAATAATGCAGGGAGTGGAGGCCACTTAATTTTCAAAGTGAAAAAAATACTTTTTGCCTCATTGAGGATAATGTTACTTAGTTACAATAAAAATCTAGCTCAATAAATAGCTAGTTATTTCGTTAGCTAGTATAATAATCTGGCTAAGCTATGGGGGGCTAACCTGTCATTTGCAGGAGATCACCTGGTTTAAGCCTGCAGGAGACCCTGGGGCTGTGATGGGGGGAATGTTACGACGCCAAATTTAACACTCTCACTGCATGATTTCATACCATTCTGCTGCGCTCACCCTGTACAGTGTTGAGCAGAAGTGCTCATTTCTTTCCTTTTTCCTTAACATGCTATTTTTATGTTTTGTACTTTTTTTGTGTTATTTTGTACGTGTCCTTTTGTTTTCTGTTTGTGTAGAAAAGCTGCGAACGTGTTCAAACGTTTCTACACCTCTGAGAGACATCTATAAGGAAAGTACAAACAAGTCTTGCCATAACGGACACCTCCTGCCAGGTGGGTGCAGGATGTCTGATTAAGGAAGAGACTGCTTCCGTGTGGCTGCTTGCTACAAGTTCCAAACCAGAGTCCATAAACAACAAGCCAAGGTTGTGTCACAGTTAGTGTATGAGTCCAAATTTAATGCTAAATGCAACCTAAGGATTGCAACTGCCAGTAGAATTCTAATGGGTTGGAATGATCTACACAGAACTGGATCAGAATATACTAGTAGAAATCGTATACTCTGATCCAGTAGGGTCTTAGAATAAAATTTTAAGAATTGATGTTTGTTACACACTAAGCAATATTACATTTGTCCATATAGCCCCCAGCTATCGCTTTTGAAAGTTAAAGTATCTGTGTGTTAAGGCTGAAAAATCCCTGGCAGTATATCCTATCACACCTCATTGTTTTCCTGTTGACCTATAACATAGGAAAACTATTACTTTTATGGATCATTGCATTGCCTTTCAGTGATGCAGGTTTTCATGTCCTGTGACCATGCAGCATAAGCTTGTGGCCTGTTATTCATGGGTTCTTCTCCAGAGCAGGATTCCAAGATCATTTATGTGATTATTGGTTTCTGAGGAAGAACAAAAAAATACCATGAAAACTAAATATTCTGAATATTACATCTGTCATGTTTATGGCAGTAGAGTTGAATTAAGAGAATATAGGTTACCCAACTGTATTGTTTGGGATATACAGTAACCATGTGGTTTGTAATTGAGAGCTGGGAAGCAATAACACGATATTTTAAATTAGACCTTATTCACTCTGAAGATTGTTCCTATTCCTCACTAGTCACAAACTATTTTAAAGAACGATGACTCATACTAATTAAATACCATTATTTATTGTGAAAGCTTTATTAGAAAAATAATGTCGATGGAAAAATTAGTCTGTCTCATGGGGTGAGTTTCTGTTGTAATCATTTCAAGACGAAATGCTGATGCCTCCAGAATAAAACTGGAATAGAATGAAGGAAATGAGACAGATTTGTTTAATAACTATTTTTAAAAAGAACTTTATACTCCAGCTTTCATTAAAGTTAATGAGGTCAGTCACTCAGAATTGTCCATTATGATATCTCCTGTAAAGGTTTATGAAATAGCTACCATTCTAAGCTTCCCCCAGAAGAGTTCTGAAATGCATGCCATACAATTAAGTGGTTTAAAAACTGATAAAATTCTGAATTTTATTTATTTTTTTCTCACAGTTTAAAATGAGAATCGATCTAACGTCCATAATAGCCTTCAATCTTATGTGTGGAACATTGAATGTACTGTAAGTGCAGGCCGCTGGATTTCCTTTCATGAAGCAATTTGCCGTGACTAGAATAAAGCTGGGAGAGTAACATTTCTGTGTCGCACTATACTGTACATTCAGGTTTTATTTCCATCTGTCTGTATTCATCATGCATCTTGAGGAGTGACTAGAGATTTAGCTGAATATTCTTTAGGGTTTTTTGCTGGCTCCACTCTGTTGTTCTGCCAGACTAATGGAACATTGAAAATGCAGATGAAGAGCAGTCAGTATATTTTGAGAAATGAAATGCTTTATGACAAATTTTATTTCTTATTCTTTTAATACAGGAGGTTGACCTGTATCTCAGGACTCAGTTGTCTAAAGCAGTTGTCTAAAATTAAGAAATCTTAATTTTCTATGACAGAGATTCATTGAGATAATATCGTGGACCTGTTTGCTTTCAACACATTTACATATTTCTTTGAATCTTATAAAATATTAAAATGAGAAATATTTAAAAATCATATAGACATAAGGAATTTCACTTTAATGTGAAGATCATTGCTTTTGTTTTTTCCTTTTTTTGCTCCGTATTGTAAAATCCTTTCTCTTTTTAAATTAAGTAACTGTCTTTGCATATTTTTATTGATTATATTATTATTTAAATAAATTGATATCAGTCAAAAGCACATCCTTCTCATTCATCTAACCTACATTATATTTCATGCTGTCTTTATTACCACATGTCTTCTGCTTTTCAGAATTCACATTTCATCCTTCTTTCAGCTGTGCCTACAGAAAACATACATTTCTGAAGTAATTGCTGACTTCTGCATGTGCTTTGTGAAAAACAGAGTTATCATGTTTGAGGTGGTGTCTGTTAAAATGAGTTATAGGGTGTGCAGCTCTTGGAGCAGAGGCCGAGGATGATTAGTCAAGATAGAGGGTGAACTGAGTGGCCTTTCAGCAGATAAGAGCAGTACAACTGAAAAAAAATATCTCTAATAAATAAGAATAGTCTTATTCTGTTTGTCCATTTTGAAATTTGAAAGGTAAAGAATGTCCCTGTAATGGAGCTTTTTTTTGTTTTATGAAAAATGATTGTGACAGAAATTATATGTACATGTTTTTTGAATGAGTTATTGGGTGTCATAAAATACTGTCTTCTGTATTTCATTTATCATTTACACAAAGATATCATAATCAACACTCTGTTCCCAGAGATTGATTTGTCTTGTTCTCTGTCCTTTCTCTTTCACTGCATGAAGCTTTGGTTATTCATCTTCCAGACAACAGTCACAATAAAAACAAACCTAATGTTGTTTCTCATTAAGTCAGATGTCAAAATATGTTAATTCAGATTATGATTAAAGGTAGCTTGGCATTATGTAGTGCTCTTTTGTTTTCTTATATGGGCTGAAGTTTGCAAAACTATCGTGACATACTGTAAGGCAAAAGAGCACATCAGATTCACACTAAGGCAATTTAGGTAATAAAATGCATTTGTTGGATCAGATTTTAGTACTGTATTTCCTGTGAATCCGTTCGACTCCTGTGCTTTTCTAAATGAAATGATTGCAACTGTGGGACAGAAGGGAGTAATCTTTCCCTTGCACTTCACAGAGAGTGGAGCAGTTCCCAAAAAGAAGGATCCCTTAACTCATTCAAGTCACTCCCTGCCCCGATCAAAGCATGTACCAAAAAGCACTTCAACAGGCCTCCCTGGACACCAGCGATCTCCCAGCTACAGTGGGCCTTCCTCCGCCAGTACAGGCAGGCCAGCTGCACAGGCCTCCACTAGCACTAAGGTATATGCATGCTTACTCTGTGTGCTGCAGCGGTTACAAGTATAACCTACAAGCTTTTCTGGGGTAGAGTTCTGGGAAAAGAGGACGTTGTATTTGAAGGGACTTTGCATTGACTCTGGGTAGCCTGCTTGTGTTTTAATCGGTGACAAGAGTAGTGTTATGTTCAGGAAATCTCTAGTTGTGAGTGGGGTGGGAATCATCTTAAAGTTTTAGAGTACTTTTTGTTATGCCACAACATTATCACTTTAACCACAGATCAGTTCTTTATTTTTGATATCTCAATCAGTAAGTAGTGGTGCATTAAATTACAGGATTAAAAGATACGATTAATGTATTTTGCCGACTTAATCAAACCTCTGATTTTCTCAAGGGTCCAGCGAAAACCACTAACAGACCAAACAACAAACCTCCAACACCTACAGCGACTCCTCGCAAAAAGAAGGACTTGAAGAACTTCAAGAACGTGGACAGCAAGCTTGCAAACCTCATTCTGAACGAAATCGTGGACAGGTGGGAGTGGACCCCATGTGGCAGTGGCTTGGCTTTGAAGGACTTGGGACTTTTTCTCTCATCGTTATTTTTAATGAAAGATCAAATATTTTTCAGATTCTTTTTAGCTGCTTGAAGGGATGGAAAAGGATACTCCTTTTGATTTTTTTTTTTCTTCCGATGTGGTTGGTGCTGCTTTTGCCTACTGCAGTGCCACATTTTAACTAGTGTAATAATATCATAGGGGGGCATTCTGAGTGACCAGGTGGTAAAGGTACCTACCTGAGCACAAGTGGAGCTCTATGATCTCATGCATGGGCCAGGATGATAATGGGCCTGGGGTTCTGCAAGCAGCTGTGCATGATTGGTTGAGAACTGCCGAGGGTGAAGTAGGCTTAGTCAGCCAGGGCTCTCTCGGCAGCACAGTGACCCCTAAATTAACAAAGATAGTTTAGATAATTGTCTACATTTAGAAAAGGCAAAATGCAGTTCCAGACTCGCCTATTGGAGTAATGGTCAACAAAATGAAAACCGTGTAGTAGTTGATAATTGATGAAGTTTCTCTGGACTGGTAAACGTGTGTAAGATCCCTGGTCCACAGGTACACAGGGGTGTGAGAATGGCAGATGCCTTACATGCATTTACCGAATCGTTCTAATGCACGTCTTGAAGAGCGCTGCTTAACATCAACCTCATGTCGGGGTCTGTTGTAGTGGCACGCCTGTGCGGTTCAACGACGTCGCTGGGCAGGATCTTGCCAAGCAGGCTCTCCAGGAAATCGTCATCCTTCCCGCTCTCCGACCAGAAGTGAGTTCCGAGACAGGATTCCCACACATGGCACCCAGACTACTCCTGTGAATACCCGGCTGTAACGTGGACAGCCCATGAACATTTCCTCCTGTTAGGACAGAAACAATATTAACTTCTTGCACACAAAGACACTTGTAGATGAATCATGAATGCTTTTCCAGCTGGTTTTTTAATAGAGTTGCAGGTTAAATGCAGGCTTTTGTGTACTGCCTTGCCTTGCTTTAAATTGGGAGGTTGGGAAATTGATCTGGTTTTCATGTGGAATTTTCTTTTTCCTTTCAGCTGTTCACCGGCCTCAGAGCCCCAGCTCGTGGTTTGCTGCTTTTTGGACCCCCAGGCAACGGCAAAACCATGCTGGTGGGTACGGAGTAAAATGCAGTGAGATTTTCATTTTTCCATTTTGCACTCCTGATTCTGTGCACCTGTGCCACATCACTATGTATATATCACTATATAACTGGCTTTAAAAACCATTGTGTTTTGTGAGATTTTGGGAAGTCTAACTGATACCTCTTTTGTGGGATGCACCTATATATTAAATGCATTATTATGATAGTTGTACTTCATAACGGTTATTAATGACACTGTAAGGCTGTCAATAATCTAACCCTGAAGCATTTTTAAACTTCATCAACAAGGATCAGGAGCTGCAAAGTCGAGTATCATGAAATAGGATGTGAAGTGAATGAGCCATGTGTATGCTCGATTGCGCCTGTTTTTGCTGTAGTATAAGGGCTTTGTGTTACCTTTACATGTTTTGGTGTGGTCTGGAGACTTCAAGGAATCTGTGCATGGGCCATTTTGCATTAACTAAAATTACATAATTACAAAATTACATATTACATATAGACCTAGTATAGTAATATTAAGACTTCCTTATTGGCTTCCATTTTGGCACGCCAAATACAAATTAATTCAGTATTTGAAATGCACTTTTCATCTGACATCTGACTGGTTTTATAAAATCAGTGTTTTGTAACTTTAGGAGGTCCAGATCTGCCTGCAGCGTGAAGTTAATCCAGTATTCTATATGGTGAAAAAGATGGGGATTTTCTGTGGCACAGAATGTTTGCATGATGTTTGACCTGGTAATTAAAGCTGCCGCAGAGAGTCAGTCTGCTTTGCAGAGGGAACACACTGAATAGACAATACTGTTTCTTGTGACCCACTTCCCTTAAGCTGCAACTTTAGCAGAGACAACTGACGGGCAGAGTTTCAGTACATAGAAACCTATTGCATTTCATCACCTCGATCTGCTTTGTCTTTGTTAACTTTTCTGCATTTCTTTTTTTTTTATGCAAAGGCCAAAGCTGTAGCCATGGAATCCAATGCAACGTTTTTTAACATAAGTGCTGCAAGCTTGACTTCAAAATATGTGAGTAATTTGAAACGACATGTATTTTATTTGTTATGCGGAGTTATAAGGATCCGTTGAGAAAGTACAGTTGTATTTATAAGGATTTTATCTTCCACAGGTGGGAGAAGGAGAGAAACTTGTGAGGGCACTTTTTGCTGTTGCTAGAGAGCTCCAGCCCTCTATTATTTTCATTGGTAAGCCCCGTCTCCAGTGTGTTTCATATGTCAGATTATGATACCCATGTGCTTAAATATTTGTGAGAAGTTCTGTTAACAATTAAATTAGTTTTTGCACACACAGTGAAGTATCGCAGTCGGAGTGGATACTATCAGTCACGTTTTTCGCTGTTCTTTTTATGCCACAGATGAAATTGACAGCCTTCTATGTGAAAGAAGAGAAGGTGAACATGATGCCAGTCGACGATTAAAAACGGAATTTTTGATAGAATTTGATGGGGTGAGAAGATATACAATACTTATTATTGGCTAAGTGAAATATGACCAAGACAGGACAAGTGTCTAACATCTGTTGTACCAGTTGTGCAGTGTTGATTGTACACTCAGTGACGTACTGATTGATATTGCCTTATTCTGAAGACCTCATGAAACCTCACTGGACGTGGTTATCTTCATTGCTGGGGTGGTGTTTGCAGGTTCAGTCTGGTGGTGATGACAGGGTCCTGGTAATGGGAGCTACGAACAGACCTCAGGAGCTGGATGAAGCCGTGCTCAGGTACAGTATCTCTTGCAGTAAAGATCCTGTTCCTTCTCTAATAAATTGTAACTATGTATTATATATATTATATTAATTGTAACTATGTAATTTCCTTTGTTGTTTCCTGTCTGTGAAGAGAAAATGTGAGTCAGACACTGTTAACTTTGTTAGGCAGTTGGCTGTAGAGGGCACTGTTGGACTTCAGTCTTAAACCTAAAAAACAACAATCGCTTTCACAAGTCAGTTTAGCAGTTTGGTTTCAACATATTTCTCCATTCCTGTTCCTTGCTGAATTAAACATTCTCCAGTATATTTTTTCCTGATAGTCTTTTACCAAACAGTCATATTTATGGGAGATAGATAATTTATCTACAAAGTTCTTTATTAAAATTGCATTCAGGCTGGCATCAGAAGACTGGTTCAGGTGCACGTACAGTCATTTGCTCAGCATGTTGCTGATCTGTTTTGTGATGGCATTGACAGACAGTACCACAAAATCATTAAGTAGAGCTTCACTCCAAAGCATGCCTCTTTCAGACACATTAGATCTCTCTGACAAAAGCCTCATTATTTGCATAAAATGGAAATTAAAACATTTAAAACATAAAATGCATTTTATAATTTCCTACATTTAAGAGAAGACCTTTAACGGTATTTTGAATTGATGTATGCTATTGTTTAAACAGGAGATTTTCCAAAAGGATATATGTGGCTTTACCAACTGAAGAGGTATGTTGGCTCTTGATACACATGCTTGGTTTTATATCTGTTTGCACATTCGTTCTACTTCATCTTGTGCTTCTTTTTTGTATTATTAGCTAGTTTTGTGTTTATCAGACATTAACAAAATTCAAATGATTTATATACCTTGAAAAAATCCCGCTGTCTCTTCAGGAAAAGTTCTGCGATTCTGTTGGACATGCATTTTTATTTTTATTTAATTCTTCCTTGCAGACACGATTAAAGCTGCTAAAAAACCTTTTGGGAAAACATGGAAACCCATTAAGCCAAAAAGAACTGGTGCAACTGGCCAAGTAAGCTCACACTTTCATAAAATATTTTTTTATGTTCCTCCAGTGAGGAAAGTTTGTGAACCTTTTAGAATTTTCTGACTTTCTACATAAAGTTGACCTACAGTGTGATCAGATCTTCATCTAAGTCATACAAATAGATAAGAGAACCCAATAAAACAAATAACACACAAAAGGATATACTTTTTCATTCATTTATTGATCAAAATGATCCAACATTAAATCCAACTGTATATACACTTGATTACACTTACACTTGAGTGTATTTTAATTGGTATTCAATTTCATCTGAACTGATAAATATCTGTGTGGTATGCTGTTTTTTTATTTCTCTGATCAAAAAGTCATACATCTGTCATTCTCTGTCATGCCTTGGAACAAAGATGTGTGGGAAACTGTTTGCTGTCTTCACTTTGCATGTTCTATTTTAGATCAGCGAGGCAGGGAAAAGCACATTTTCTCAGCTTTATACATCTTATGGGCTGTTGTGAACGTCGTGTTAATCTTATAAATACAATTACAAGAAAAACGTGTGTAAGAGTTAGGGGGTCACAGAACCCCAGAATTAGTCCCAATATCTCACTAGATTGTACATCATGCACACACAATGACTGTAGAGTTGCCAGTTAACCCATTCATCCTGGAGGTGGAAAGAAACCAGAGCCTATACTCGTACTGACAGGCTGAACATAAAGAAAATTTCTGATGCATCATACAGTGGTGCTTCGATCCGGTATTGAAACCAGGACCCAAGACCTATAATAGTAATAAATAATTCCTTACACTTACATAGCTCTGTTCTAGAGACTCCACTCAAAGTGCTTTACAGGTTTTAGGGACTCCCCTCCACCACCATCAATGTGTAGCTCCCACCTGGATGATGCATCAGCAGCTATAGTGGACCAGTACGCTCACCACACTCTGTGGGGAGGAGAACAGAGTAATGAAGCCACTTCATAGATGGGGATTATTAGAAGGCCATGATTGGTAAAGGCCAATGAGAAATTTGACCAGGACCCTGGGGTAACACTCCTACTCTTTTTGAGAAACACCCTAGGATTTTTAATGACCAGAGAGAGTCAGGACCTTGGTTTTACGTCTCATTCGAAGGTCAGTGCCTTTTTACAGTATAGTGTCCCCGTCACTATACTGGGGCATTAGGCCCCACACAGACTGCAGGGTGAGCGTCCCCTAAGGGCCCCAGTAATACCTCGTCTATCAGCAACCTTAGTTTTTCCCAAGAGGCCTCCCATCCAGGTACTGAGCAGGCTCACACTGCTGAGCTCCAGTGGGCTGCCAGTTGTGAGTTGCAGGGTGAAGCACAGCATTCCACCATGTCACCATGCTATCTAATAAAAAAAACATTTGAAAAAAATGCTGCCTTTTCTGATGCAGAACATTTCATCATTCTGCGTGCCATAGGCAACAGCCCTGGGGCTGTTGAAGCTTATAGTCAGATCTGTTTTGGAAAGCGCTGACATAAAACATCATCTAGGCTTGCAGGCAACTTTTTTGTAGGGAGTATGATCAGAAAATCACGCACTTGTGAAAATCCAGTTCCATTCCAACCAACACAAAGGTAGCTACAGTAAGACCATTTTCTTTGGAACCAGAAGAACTGTGATACTGTATTTGGGTACATGGAGCAGGAACTCGCTCTCAGTAGGTGAACATTTAATTAAGTAAAGCACAGTGGGATCGTGAACATTTTAGGTAATTCTTGTTTGTTTTTTGAATTCGTTAAGCCTTTGTTGTGGTTTTCATGTAGATGGAGTTGTACTTAAAAACAAATATGCAGCACTTCCCTTCATGTGAGCTTTCCTTTGTATCCTTTCCTCCTTATTAGAATGACAGGTGGATATTCTGGGAGTGACCTGACAGCGTTAGCTAAAGATGCTGCTCTAGGGCCCATCAGAGGTAAGCAGGAGGAAGATGGTCTTTTTTTAATACATTTTTCTGTGCCGATTACTTTCTATTGTGAAAATAAACAACTGAAAGCACTTCTAAATGTTTCAAGGATTTGTATAACGATATATATATAGTATTCAGTATACAATTTCACAGTGACATTTTTATGCCTCTGCTTCCTTTTGAAATCAGTCATTCTTGTACTCATGACATGATCCGATCGCAACTTCTCTGCCAATTTAAGTTCTCCCCAGAAATTTCTTCACAGGCTTAATAGTTATTCATTGTAAGATAACTCTGCTATAATTGGCAATTTTGTTTCTAATTAGCCATGCTGCTTTTATTTTAACAGAGTTAAGACCAGAACAAGTGAAAAACATGTCTGCTAATGAGGTACGGTATGCTGTTTAAACTATACCAGAATTTGCCTCTGGGGTGGAGAGTGGGTGATTGTTGTTGTCCTGTCCTGCTGCATGTTAAAGATTAAACTAAGGCTTTGGTCTGTTTGAAATGCAAGACTCGATATTGTTGTAGAACACGTGGAAAAAGAACTGTATAATATATGCAGATGCCATTACTCAGGGTGATTACATTGGTAAAAATTGCATAATATAGGGTATTGTAGATAAACCTTCTTTGAATGTATTTCTGAAAGTATTTTTTTATATCAATTTAAATATTTTTTGTTTTGCTTTTTTTTTTGCCTCGTGTAGATGCGCAACATTACCTTTGCGGATTTTGTGGAATCCCTGAAGAAAATTAAGCGCAGCGTCAGTCCACAGACACTGGACTTGTATGTCCGTTGGAATAAGGAATATGGAGACACAACAGCTGTGTGAGACAGCGCCCCCTTGTGTTCTTGAGGGGTACAACAAACTGAAATGCCTATAGGGAAAAGAACGCCTTCCTCATTTTGCTCGAGGTGTGGGAAGCGGATCCAGCGCGAACAAGTGGTACATTAAGAGGGATTTTCTTGCAGAAAAACAGCTGTGCATTGAAATTTCAAACCTTTTTTTGAACAGGTGCACTTGAGTCAGTAATGTACATATAAATCTGCCCTTTTTCTTTGATGGTGAAATAGGGTGGAGTTTTATCAAATTTCATTGTGTGATAGCATGTGCTTTTACACAGGATCCAATGAATGGCTTTGGTCCAGAAGGCTCATATTTTATAAAATGCAAAACATGAGTCACACCTGCAGCAGAAATTGTACATAGTTCAGCTGAAAAATTCCTCCTTTTAAAATAGAACATAGAAACTGCATGACCGTAGAAAGACCTGTGCCTTAATTTGGAAAAAAATAGTTTAATGTTTTGATTGTCCTTAATCCTATTTCCTTTATTAATCATTAGAAATTTTAAAGGGAAATTCTGCCTTATCTCTGAGACACATTAGTATACTGTGCCAAGCAAAGCTTTTGGTATTGTTTCTGGGGCAGACAGATACCGAGCCTGTCAATATTAAACCTAACACATTTTTAAAATATTAAATCAGGGCTTTTGTACGTTTTAACAATTGATGCAAATTATGGCCTCTCTATCTGCAACAGGGTTTTTTTTGTTGTTGCAGTTTGTATACTTCAGCCTTTTGTGTGATTTGTATACTTTTACTCTTATATGTAAAGAGGAGCTGCATTGAATTGTCTGAATATGGTGTGTGGGCAGGGTTTTGAGAGATCCTTGTCTCCTACAGTCACTGGTGAGTTTCAGTCTGTGTGAGAAGTGTAGGATTGGTACTGCAGCATTAAAGCTGGTTTGCATTGTAACTATAGGCTGTTATGTTTAAGCTATGGCAGCTGGTTAATGGATTTACCTGTAGGCCTCAGGTCCACACACACCAGTTATATTGGCCATCAGAAGACAGTCCTGATGAGCCCCTGTGTAAAAAAAAATGAGCTGATCAGCCAGTCAGGCACATCTGAATTGTAACTGCTGAGCTGTGGTTTTCTGATTATTGTCATTCTGCATTCTCAGCTGTTGACCATTGCCAGTCACTCACCATACAGCTCAGATCCTTCAGGACACTGGAGACCAGTGTTTTTTGGTAGAATATTTGTAATGCTGCTTTGCTAGTTCCCAGAGATGGTCTGTTAACATTTAGAGATAATGAAATGAATAGATGCTGGGGGTGGTAGGTTGTGTATGTGTAAATGTTAGAAACATGGAGCGTTTTTATAGTTCATTAAAAATGGCTTTTTTTGTTTCGTAATATTAAGCAGCTGGTCTGTATTAACAAATGCATTTGTTTTTTTTTCAGTTTTTGTACAAACACCTGTTTCGAAATAACAAATAAAAAGGATTTCAAGGGCTGGAGGAGTTTCTCCCAGTGGCTGTCTTCATTTTCAGATATCTTGAGCTGTGGTGCAGGCTTGCTTATCTAAGAATGTCCTGGAGCTGTGCGGAAATTGGACTTTGTAAGGAACTAAACTAAACTGTGTGCAGCAACAACAAAGGTTTTTTTTTTGTTCGGAATCCTACAGGCAATAATTAAATCTCAGAGCCATACATGTTAACGAGTACAAAACTGACTATTGTAAATATTAGTTTTGTCTTTAGTTGTTTTGGGTTTAGATGGCTATACCACTAATAATTTGGTCTCTCCTATAGCAGGTTGAGTTCAAATGGCAAAGCCACTAATGTGTACCTTGTTTCATTCAATATCTGTGCACAGTTTCTACCTACTTATTGTTTACTTATAGGGATGAATTCTTCTAGTGAAAAAAGTGTTCCCAAAACTTTGTACATTGAAACTTGAAGCTTTGGATGACCTTTCTGTGTTATTCTAATAAATTTGTTTATGCTGGAATTTACATTCGTAATCTGTCAGTTTTTTAGCACATAGTTTGTGTAGCAAGCTCTACGGACTTGTGTTCACTGTGCTGTGTAAATTCTTGTTTAAAGCTTTTCAGCTTCCATAAAGTCTTTGAAGAATAAGTGTGTAATGAAACTGTTTTTAGAACTCACTGTCTATCTTGACTTTGGAGATATTTCACTACCATTGTTAAAATTAAAGTTTTGGATCCAAGAGACTCTTTAAACCAGCACTTAACCCTTTTCAGCTGTAATGGTCCATGTAAAATGTTTTGTGATTTATGAAACTTGGAAGAGCTCTGTTCGCTTTGTTCGAATTAGTTCAGGCTTTTAGTACCCGGCTATCAAGAAAGATGCATTTGCCAGTGGATTGTCAAATGGACATTTAAAACACTGTTGTGTGTGTATGCTATAGGTGTTTTACTGAGTGCTATTCAGTCTTCTTTCCTATCTTCTCTTTCATTTTAATTTTGTGAAGAATGGAAACGGAAACCAGTCAGTATAATAAGTCAGTGCTTGCTGTGTTCGTCTTTCTGGGACCCAGACATTTCAAATTGCACGTGTGACTACTCCCTGAAACAACATCACTGTAATTAAATCTATCACCCTACAGATCAGAAACCGTGGTCTACAAAATAGGGAGAACTGAGAGGCATTTCTCCGTCGCAGGCCCTGCATGCCAGAGCTTACTAAATAAGGTCCAAATGTGCCCTGTCTTTAACCTTAGATGTGTGGACACATGTTGTTTAGCAAAGGTCGTGATTCAGTAATCCCTGTAGGAATGAAAATCCTAATACTTGTTGACAGATGACACCTCTCGTGTGCCCTGATGTCCGCCCAGGTTCAAGCCAAATAATTGGAGTTAGGCTACTTGGCCTAAGGGATGCGTTTTACTGTTTGTCAGTGTGGTTTTAGCATGGCGTTTGAGACATTCCACTTTTTTTCTGTCAAGCAATTTTTTAATATAGAACCATTCCTTTTATATTTCGTATTTTTTATCGACGTCATCTCTCAGATTAGTTGATGAGCCGTTGAACAAACACCAAAATGTTGTAGCCTGAGTTCACATCTGTTCTTCTCCATCTGGAAAAAAAAAATACTAGTTTGTTCCTTCCTGTGGTTTTCATGCCTGTAAAACACTGATGAAACCATGTTCTTTGAGTGTGTAAATAGTTTTAGGTTTGTTTCCAGAACAGCTTGGTATTGGTAGACAGTTTTGGGGCGTCTTCCACACTCAGCTTTCCCTTTAAAAAAAGAAAGAAATTGAAGTTTCTCTGCTGTTGCTTCAACGGCATGGAAAATTCTCATTTTAAAAGCGTACCTCCAATGGAACGTAAGCTGACGGAGGAAGAAATGGCCTTTGTAATCCCCCTTCATTTTTGTTTTTCCTTGCGCAGTTTAATTGCCTATCAGGTAACTAAAACCGGCAAACTAAACCCAGTTTCGTTCTTTAAAAAGCAAAACATTTTCTGCAAGAATGTGCCAGTTTGTTTTTGTTTTTTTTACCTCCACGGACACAAGTTGGTGTACACTGTTTACATATTAATTGGTGGTAAGCTCTGTTAAATCTTATACTTTTAAGCCGATTAGCAGACTTTCATTGACTTGAAAAAAGTGAGGCTCATTGTAAAAGCTACGTCAAAACGGAAGATGGTAAGAAAATGGAAGAAGGAAAGAAAAAGGTGTAGTGCAACATTCCAAATTCTTCATATGTAGCTGATAATTAGTTTACCCTTGATTTATGCATCTCCTGACACCATGGGAGTGAACTATGAAGCAGCATGTGCTGCTGTAGTGTCAGCTGAAACAATACCTTAGTTTACATCTAACATAAAACAGTCTATGATGTACAGTCCATGTCAATGAATGTACTCTGCTTCAAGACAAACCATTTTCTTAACATCTTTGTTCTGAAGTTCTGAAGCTCAGAGTGACGGTTCTCATCTACTCCAGGTTTGGAGTTTAAATCTGTTAGGAGCTGGACATCCTGCCAGGGGGAGAGTGTGGCCTAATTACGAGGACAGGAAGAGAATGGAAGATGCATCTCATAGCTTGATTGAAGGGCAAGAGCCATTATCTGCTGCGAAACCATAGCTGAGATAAGGAGTGAAGGAGCTCCAGGAAAACAACTGCTTGCCATGTGGGTGGGGGGTTAATGACTACACATTATTGCTCAACCTCACTTATAATTGTCAGGAACCTTTGCTGCCAACTGCAGTGACAGCCTCGCCAGACTGCTCGGTAAACTGAACAACAAGAACAACGCCGCAGTCTTTGGGAAGTACAAAGTACATTTTGGAAGGCCTAGTTAGGAAATTGAAAAATAAGTATCCGGCCATGTTCAGAAAAATATTTTCATAAATTTTAGATTATTGCGTCTACGTCAAGGATAGGGGAGCAAATGTTTAGGCTAGAGCCTGTCTCATAGTGTTACACACTGCTTATAACAAAATGTACTACAGGAATGCAAAAGACTTCTGCTAATAATATTAATCTACAAAGAATCACTGTTCCTGGCATGTTGGCACGTTTAAAACTCCCTTAAATATGGACATCGAGATATCATCTGTGTTCAAAATTAAAATAAATTTATCCTAAGAATCAAATCTTCTGCTCTAGAAAACTGTGGACAAAGGTTACTGGACAAAAACATGTAGGGATTATGCGAGATTTTCAAAAAAGCCTTCTTGATGATTTTCTTTTACCCTCCCGGTTCTGCAGCTGAGTGAGGGTATAGATGTCTGTACCCAAAGTCAGTTTCAGAATTTTACAGATTGAATGTGCATTTTCATGTGGCGCTCCTATTATTTGAAATCCGTCTGGAAAGTTATCACACCCATTTGGCAGGAGGGAGCAGAGAAATCTTCAAACTTTCAGTCACATCTTCACCTGCTGCTAAAGGTGGACCACATGCCTGGTGAGCTTAATTACCCAATTGAAACTTAATTGAATTAAACATGTTGCTTCACTGAAAAACTTGCGTGTTCCTGCTTGAAAGTCTGGAATTTTATTTTACTTTACGTGAATCCAGTATTTAAAGGGTAACATCTAACATGTTTAAAAGCTGAAGACTACTAGTTCGCATTCATCAAATTATTAAGTCAATTATGATTTCCGTTGTGTTTATGAGAGCTGGCTGGAATGAAAGCCAGCAGGTGAAGCCAATGGCATATTCGGAGAAGAGTATAGAGGGGACTTGAGTCGTCCTCGTAAAATTGAATATAGACAATTTCCCTGAAATTACAGATTAGCTTGGTGTCAGCATGTGCTGTGGACTAAGAGTGGTTTGTCTATTAGGCCATACTGATAACATTTATCATAGTCTGTTCATTTCCTTTCATTTTAGGAGATAAAAATTGTTCCATCTATTGCCATAACTAATAATTTTACAATAACGACTGTACTGTCTGGAGGGCGGTATAACATTTCATTAATCGCTGGAATGTTGTTCTTCTTTTTCTTCAGTAATGTGTGCTTAATTTGCACTTCTCAGTGATTTTCAATGTTACGAATATTAAATCTGGTGATGGTATCATTTACAACGAAAACAAGTTCTCCACATGAGAGTGAAAAAATGTCAGTTACTTTACTGGGAGTGGGTGAAAATTTAAAAAGCAAATTGAAAGAGAAACAAAAAATGAAAATACAGTGAGAAAGTCAAGGAAATGAACAAAAACGTTTTATGTTACTTAATTACGTTGAAGACAAAATACCTGGGCCCGCATGCTGCATTTCATATGCTGTGGTCCCACCGGAAGCTCCAACAGGAAATAATGCAAATTCCAGGGAGTAAAAGTGATAATATAATCTCCTTGTGCACACACAATTCACTTCATTTATTTAACTCCTGGAAACGCTGTGGCTGTTTTCCATTTTTATTGGGTCAGAGAAAGGAGAACCCTGTTCAGGGGGAAGAACCCTTCCTTGTTGTGGAAATCCTGCATTTCAAATGGCCCTCCGCAAGCTGTGAGGTGCAGTAACTGTAGAGCACTCTGGAAACCCGTTTCCACTGGGCGGTCACCCCCACAACAAAGCAGAGAAGTGGGGCGGGGGGCTTGGAAATGAGAGATAACTAACGACTGCTCATGTGGTCAGTGTTACCAAATCATCTTTTAATGCATTGCCTAATAAGTGTTTATGAAAACCTTTGGCAGAAATGTAGGAGATAAAGCACTGAAAGCAAGTAAAAGCGTAGAGGCGGACTATATTGTGTGAAGAAGAATATGGACAATTGGGAGTAGTTCTCCGAAGTTTGATTTTATAGAGGTAGATGCAGAATTCCTGGACAAGGAAATCCCTCTTCCCCAAGTCTTGTTTAGGTAGATCAGTATGCTTGCGAATGGGGTTGATCTTGACTTTAGTGACTCAACTCCAACCATTTACAGATGAAAAGTGACTTAATTTACATGAAAGGGATTTGATGCACTAGCCAAAGTAAATTTAGCTCCTTGAAATTTAGGCTTTGCATAAGTTCATGTTACCTTACTCATTGACTGACATTGCGGTACTCAAGGAACAGGTATATTATCTTATTAAACCTGCACTATTCAATAAAGGTTACACAGGTATTCATTTTTAATTCGTTTTTTTTAAGTTTTTAATTAGTTTAATTTTCTGAATAAATGTTTTTATAATGAAATACACTGGAAGGCCTTTAAAGTGCTTGTACTGTATTTCTTCTCTGCAAAGAAAGTGGTTTTGCGGTTTTGTTAGATAAAGTAATCTTGTCTGCATTGCAGTGTTTAATCTGGTTAATTACAGAGCTTTTACAGGGCACAGATGTGTAACTGCTTGAAGTGGAACAGGGTGTGCTCAGCAGGTAGGTGCTTGAAGTACTTCATCATTTAGAGAAGCTCAGGAATAGAAATCGCCCCATTCTGGAGACTTAGACGTCTCTCATCCTATTCATATTCCCAGATGTTTGCTTTTAGAGTTTGGGATTTGTAATGTGCTGAAAATTTCCACTCATTGACTGTTCAGTAAAGCAATTGTTTTCAAA